GTTCACCCTGGTTCCCTCCTGCTCACAGGCCTGCAGTGACATTAGGTGACATAAGGGGCCTCACAGAGCTCAGGAAAACAGACCTTCCCAGGGACATCAGGTTCATCACACACCAAAACCCCTCTTTTGTCCCTGCATTGCTGGGGACAGGTCATAAGGAAGGATCCTGAGGTCCAGGTGAGACAGGACAGGCTCCTGCAGATGAGGAGCCCAGAGCTCGGAGCTGGTGTCCAAGTGGGGTAGCAGGAGGAAAGAACAGGGAACCCATGTCCTGGGGTCCAGTCCCAGCCCTGCCCTGGCAAGGCTGGGTGACCAGGGCACGTGGCCAACCTCTCTGAGCTGCAGTGGACTGGGTGGTTGGTCAGCCATCTCTGGTGCACTAGGGCTGTGAGGTCAGAGTTGGTGAATGTCAGACCACAGCCTGTGCCTTGCACACAGAAGGTGCTCCTTAAATGGCACCTTTGGCTCATGCATGACGTCACTCCTGCCCAAGGTCTCCAGTGGTCCCTGAACATCCTGATTGGGGTCTCAGTGGCCCTCGTCCTGCTGCTCTCCCTCCTCATCTTCCTCTTCCTCCGATATTGGCATCAGAACAAAGGTAGGACACTGGGTGAGTAAGGAAGGGGGTGACCTGGGTCACAGGAGACAGGAGCTCAGAGCACCTGCTGCAGGAAACAAGTAGATGGGGAAGGTCAGCTGAGAAACAGATTTCTCCAGAATCTCACATCAGAAAACTCCATGTCAGCACAGATGTGGGAATAAGTGTAAGTTAATTTTTGATTGTTTTCAATTTTCTGTAACGTGACATATATGCACAAGCGAGTATTAAAATGTCCTTCTTTCCTCTGCAATCACACCAGAGGTGCCTCCACCCTCCCAAAGCTGAGACTGTCCCTCTTGACCAGCCCAGAGAGGGGCTTTGGTCTGTCCTCCATCCCAGCTGCAGATGCCCAGAAAGAGCCCCACTGTGAGAGGAAGGGACAGCTGCCCTCAGGAGGGGGCACAGGGATTTCAGGAGATGATAGGGGAGGGGACAGCCTGGGAGGGTGTGGGGGTCAGGGGTGAGAGAGACTGAAATCCATACAGCCTGACCTGGCCCCTCACCTCAGTCCTGGGTTAGTGACCCATCAGGCAGCAGGCAGGTCTGGAGCCCTGAAAACTTGGGAACCCTGACAGGAGACACTCACCGTTCTGCTCCAGCAGATACTGCCATGAAGAACCCACAGCCTGGGGAGAGCATGGAGCTGGACCCTCAGGTGAGACCCCTGCTTCTGTCCAGGACACCAAGGACCTTCCTGTTCCCCAGTTTACTCCAGTGGTCACTTTCCTGTCCACCTCCCCTGGTTCTCAGCAGCGTCCACACCGACCTCTCCTTCTGGGCACCAGGTGGTCCTGCTCTGACTCACTCCTCCCACTTTCCTGTGACCTCATGTCCCCTCCCGGGTGGTTCTCCCTGCTGGTTCCTTGCCCTCTGTCTGACCTTGTGCAGCCCCAGGTGTCAGGAGGAGGCATGAATGAGTGAATGACCTGCAGGTCCCAGGGTCCCATCACTCACTCACGCAGCAGCTGTGACAGGAGCTCACTGGTTCCCAGCTCCATGTCAGTGCCCCAGTGCAGCCCTGAGCAGCCTGTCCCCACCCTCCTCAAGCTCACCTGTGGGTGAGGGAGACACCTGCAAACAGGCAGGTGGCGTTCTGCAGAGCTAAGTGCTGTGAAGGAGAATGAAGCAAGAGCAGGGGGTGGAGTCCCTGGTGAGGAGGGAGAACAGAGAAAACAGCAGGTGCAAAGGTCTTCAGCAGAACCGGCTGCTTCAGGCAGATGGGCCCTGTGGCTGAAGCTGAATGAGCAGATACAGTGAGTTAGATTAAGAGTCAGATTCACAGAAGCACCAGATGCTCCCAGATGCCCCAAGGCTCAGGGAGTCCCTGCAGACTCCATCAGGAGAGTGACCTCATCTGATCTGAAGTTTAGTTGTCACTCTGACACTATGTGGACAAGACTGGAGGGTTTCAACTGTGGGGTCAAGAACACACTGGTTCTGTCTCACTGTCTCTCTGCAGCAGAACAGGACCCGGTGATGACTCCCAAGGAGTGACATGTTCCTAGGTGACCCTCTGAACATCGAGGCTCATGCAGGGAATGGCGACCTCTCCTTCCCCTTTGTCATGGGGATTGCTGGTCATGAAGGGCAGAGAAGCAGAAAATGACAGATAGATGGACATTCAAGTGGGTCCCATCCTCTCCAGGATGCAGACTTCCCTAGCCCTAACCACCTTTCATCCCTCTCACTGTCCCCCTGCTCCAGGCTGCTGCATCTGCTGCCCCCCAGGATGTGACCTATGCCCAGCTGACTCACTTGGCCTTCAGAAGGGAGACAAGGGCACCCCCTTCCTTCCCATCAGAGAAGCCCCCAGATGAGCCCAGTGTGTACGCTGCTCTGGCCGTCCACTAGCCCAGGAAGGACCTGGATCCCACACTCCAGGGAGGGGGCCTACAGGGATGCCAGACGGTACAGATCTGTCCCCACTGATTTTCAGCTAGTGGCCCTAGTCAGCCTGGAGACCCGACATGGACCCCCAGCAGCTTCTGGGACCCTCTGGGAGTCCCCTGATTCTGCAGTCACAGATAAGTACTATCCCTACACTTGGGAATCAGAGCAACAAACTTTTCAAGCATCAACATGTGGATTTAGAACCGAAACAGAAGGCAGAGAATGCTTTCAGTGAATGTAAATACTGCACATCAGTCCTACAAAATAGAACATTAACAACCATGAATGAACATCTTAGAGAAGAAAAAGGCGAAGGCATAGAAACCACCTAAGTGTCCTCCCACACGTGCTGAGATGAAGCTGTGGCAGCCTGTGCGACGGAGTGTCACTCGGTCACAGAGGGGAAATCCTGTCAGTGCATCAACACGGAGGCACCGTGAGCATGTCATGCTACGTGGGGTAAATCAGACCACACAGCACAAGGCCCGTGCTACTTCACTTGTATGTGGGTGAGATCTGAAAGTCTTCACTGTCTATGGACTAACTGTGTGGACGTTGTAATTAAATACTTTCCTGCAAAGTGAACTCGGAGTCTGAAAACCTTCCCTGGCAAATGCTTCACAACCCTCATGCATGTATGAAACACACACACACACATGACACACACAGACACAAACATACACACAACACAAGTATCACAGCTTTACACAATCATCTCCTGAGAACAGAGAAGATAGGAACATCCTGCAACACAGTTTCTCAGGACAAAAATAAATTGAAATAAATAAATAAAAGATAAACAGAAGTGAACTATGAAAAGCAAAGGAGGGAGCTACCAAGAGCGAACCTCAAGGGAAGCTCTCTCACCTGCAGTCAGGTGCAGAGTCCTAAACAAAACATCACCAAGATGCATCAAAGCAAAACCTGAGTCATCCACCCTGACCAGGCAGGTATGTGTTTGTAGAGATGAATGGTTGGTTTCATATCTAAAACATCAATCAGTACAACTCAAATATTAAAAGGAAATGAGAAAGCCCTGGCTGTTGAGGTTCAGTGGATTGGGCGCCAACCTGCAAACTAGGTGAGGGGTCCCAGGTTTGAGTCCTGGTCAGGGTACAAGCCTGGGTTGCGGGCTGGGTCCCCACTTGGGGGCATGCAAGGGGGAACCACGCATTGGTGTTTCTCTCCCTCTCTTTCTCCTCCCTTTCCCCTCTCTAAAAATAAATAAATAAAATATTTTTTAAACAAAGGAAATGAAAAAAAAACATTCTATCAACAGAGGCAAAATGTTTGCTATAATACAGAATCAATATATAATGAAAAACTCTTCAGAAGTAAAAGGAAATTTTCTATCACCTATCAAAGCATCTTTGAAAAGCTTTATAAAGGAAATAATGCTTAAAAGTAAATTCTTCTAAACATTTGCCTGCAATTGAGCCCGATACCAAAATAGTCACTAGGAAACTGGGGGTGCACACAGCCTCCCGGCAACCCCATGCCTACACGTTTGGCCAGCCAGGCCCATCCCGTAGGTTTTTTGGGTGGGACAAGAGGCCTCTCTGCACCGTAGAGGTGACACCCTCATGCCCCACACCTTCCTCACCAGGGCACTAAGAACGTGGCCAACCCGGGGTCCCGCCCAGTCACAGGCCCCGCCCAGTGGCCAGCACCTGGAGCACTTCCCTCCTGCACAGCCCCAGCTGAGAGTCAGGTCTCACCTCCGCCCCTGCTTTGGCCCCCACTGCCGCCCCTGCATCTGTCTCTCCAGCATCCACCACAGCTTCTTCCGAACCTGCGCCTGTTGGTGCAACTAAGCAGGAGAACCAGTGGGAACTCCCATCAACAGACAGGAAATCCGGACACTCTTCCCCATCAAACCTTGTTGAGGATGCACCAAGTGCGCTTGTGACAGGTCAGTCCTCTGAGAATATGGTCACTGAGGTCGTGTCGATGGGCTGTGAACCAGAGCAAGTGATGGCAGCCGTGCGAGCCAGGGTCAACCACCCTGACAGCCCCACTGTGTATCTATAATGGGAACCCTGGACACAGAGAAAGTCAGGCTGTGCTTGATTTCCCTCCAGCAGCTAGTTCTGGGGGCTCCTCAGCCCAGGGCCCTGCCCCTGGAGAGTCTGAGACAGTAATAAATGTGGGGACCAGGGTGTTTCCACAGGCTGGACACTCAGGAGCCCCTGACACCAGCCCCTCCCCCATGCACCCTGGGTCCCCAGCTGTTGAATTAGTGAGATCTCTCAGCTGTAGACGAATAAGCTCATGAATTCTGTGCCTTCCACAAAATTCAGAACACACAACTCTTACTTATTTCTGAATGGAGACCATTTTCATCCCTCATCCTGAACCCTAGGGTACAGCTCCTATTGAAGTGACTCAGAACAAGTTCTGATCCAGAGATCCCAGTCAGGCTGAGCTGATCCAATGAGAAGACAGGGACCTGGTGGAGTCAAGTCCAGGCTCATGACATGACCTTGTGAAACTTACAGTCTGAGAAGTGGGGCATCGGGGAGCACAGACCCCAGGAGGGAGGCTCCTGTCTCCCTAAGTCCTCACTCACCCCCTCATTTCATGATCCTCAGGGGCAGCCAACACCATCAGTCCAACACAGACCAAGTCAGACCCTAGGAGTGAGGAGTGGGAGAAACTCTCAGTTATGGTCACAGAGGGTCACGCCTTGCCAGATGGAGACAGGTGTCCTGGGTGGACAATCAAGGTCCTAGGGTGTCTTTGGTCTCCTCTGACCTCTGTGACTTTTTTGCCCACATTTCCTAACCTTCCACCCCCAAGACTGTACAGTGAAGACTCTCATCTGAATGGGTGTGGCTGGATTTGTCCTGGTGGTCTTTGGGGTGCTGCTCTTTGAGGCTTGAGATAGCGAGAGGTAGCCAGGATGTAAACACAGAGGGGACAGGGCACTATGTAGAATGGGGTAGCCATGTGGCCCATCTGATGACCCAGGAGGTGGTGAACAACATTCTGGCCACAGGTGGGGAAACTGTCTGCTGATGTGTCCAGGACAATGAACAAGCTTTGGGTGCAGGGAATGTCTGAGTGCTCCCTGTGCAGGCCTCTTCCTCCATTAGATGTCTGTTTTCTCTCTTTATTTTGTGGACTCTCTGTAATGACCCCCCCCCCTTTTTTTCTCACATGAGTGTCCTTCCCACATGGCTGCATTGAGACCACACATCAAAAAACCTCAAGTCCTCTTCCACTGTTGTGTAATAAAATGTTCTTTGTTTCAAATCACATGAACGGATGAGCATTATTGAATTTATAGCTCTTCAGTTCACGGGGTTAATGTAGATTCAATAACTGATTAAATTAGATATGTCAGATAGATGCAAATCAGTGCCACCACCCTCTCTGTTCCCAAAGTCTCTACTGTCTTCGTGAGATGCCATGTGTGCCATTTACTCAGAAATGTCATCCCTTGAAGGGACAACCTGGTGGTGTGCTGCTCTGAAAACATGTGTTCAGAGAGTTCAGATTTGTGATGTTTGCCAGTTACTGTGCTGTAAATTCTCCCTTTGTGACCAACCCAAAATGCCAATGTGACTTCACCGAGTGCAAGGTGGGGAGATGGCAGAGTCATCGTCACCACAGAGTAAGAGGCGTGTGCCTTACACCTCCCCACACACCCTGTGTTGAGTTGCATTTCATCATCTTTTACAGATGATGATCATTTCTACTGCACTGTGGGGGCACAGTATCAATGAAATTGTGACAACATAATCCTAGATATTCACACAAGAGTAAAAAAAAAAAAACCAGTCTGAAAACAAATGGGCTTAGAATTCAAATACACTTGTGGTGGAGGTAAAAATTACTCCAACTGTTTGGAGAGTACATTGGAATCATCAAGGTAAAAGGAGACATGAGTTATGACCATAACATGCATGCTGGAGAAACTGTGTACACAGGCACAAGTTACACTCACAAGAACATGGACCAGTGTGATTCCCCTATTGAAAAGCAAGCACATGTCACAAAACCACATGAATAAAAAAGAAAGACGGGTGATATTTGTTCACCATGACCTACCACATGGGAAAAGCACAAATTAAATCACCAAAACAATGCATGTCAAGGTTCAAACATGCCGGTGAGTCCATGAAAGAAGATTCTCAAAAGAAGGCAGGCAGGGCTGTTCCATTACACAACTTTCAGAGACACCATTTGTCACTCAGGCAGGCACACCTAAGAGAAGCCCAACGAACAAAAGTAGGAATGGATCCCTTGTGATCTGTTTAGGGGTTAAACATAGTGCAATGTCAAAGGTTTGTTCAAATGTCCTTGGTGACTTCAAGGTCCAGTTGTCATTACAGGAAAACACTACCTTTCTACCTGGTGACTTAACTATATCTTCATACAATTTAGTGAGCTATTGAGAGTAGGGTGGTAAAGTCCACGGGCTAACCTAGGCAGTGAAGTTCCTAAATATGGCTCTGGTTGTGTTAGAGGAAAAGTGCCACCTTGGCAATACAGTTGCCCCAAAATGTGATCAGCACCTGCCCCACCAGCTGCACTAAGTCCAACCAAATAAGGAGTCCCTGCTGAGGCAGATGCTGGATCTCAGCATCTGACAGCCTGTGCATCACCACCTGACATGCAACTGACCATGTTAAACATCCAACAAGGGTTAGATGCCTTATTGCTCCAACCATCTGGATGTTTGTAGGTCAGCAGTATGGATGTGTGAGTTATTTCACAAAATGGGTTCAACTCCACCAGGCACTTGTTTGGGATCACACAAGTTTTGGGTGCAGACTGAACAGTGCTCAGGATTCCTCATCTCCTCCTGGACCCCACTGAGGGCTCAGGGGCAGGGAGCTGAGTGCAGGGAGTGCCAGACATTGAGGTCAGGCTTGTCCTGATTCCCTTCCTGATGGAAACTCACCAGGTGCCTGACTTTGAAAAACAGACTCCGTATCATTAAGAGCCATAGTTGTTGACAAATGGTGTTGGATAAATGAATGTGCAAAAGATGAAGTTGGCTATGTACCACCTACCCCACACCAAAACGACCTTAAAATGGATCAATGTAACAGCTGATATTATAAAATGTAGTATCAAATGGGTAAACGTTCATGAGGGTGGGCTTATGTACATTGTCTTAGAAATGACACAAAAGCACAATAAACAAAAAAGCTAGATTTTATTAAAAAATTGTGTACATGAATCAAAGAATACTATCAAGTGATTGAAAAAAGTGACATACAAAACTGAAGAAAGTATTTTCAAATTATATTTGATAATGATCTGGTCCAGAATACTTAAAGCATACTTATAACTCAACCACAAAAAAAATCCAACTCATAAAAAAGGTCAAAGTACTTGAGTAAGCATTTCTACCCAAAGATATTCTGCAAAGAAGATAAGTTCTGTAAACAGCAAGATGAGCTCAGGAAAACATGCTCATCATGGTCAGTCATTAGGAGAATGACCATGAAAATGACAGCAACCTGACCTAAGTCAGCAAGATGGTGGCAAGATAAGAAGTCCTGGCTCTGTTCACCCACAGAAGCCGGGACCTTAGCTAACCACCATCCACCAACAAAACTACATTCACACTCTGGGGTGAAGGTGTGAAGTCCCAGCACAAGCACCCCGTGGAGTAAAAAACCCAAGAACAACCACACTGAAAAGGGTGAGAAGAACAGCTTCACTTAACTCAGCATCAGCCCTCCCACCCAATGGCCCAGCTCTGCACAGGGAAACTCCTTTCACCTGCAGTTTCTCCTGTGGGGGTGCAGAGAATGGGATCCTCCTTCCCAACAGCATTTCCATCATTGCCCCAAGGGCCAGCCTCTGTCTGGCTGAGGGGCTGCAGGCTGGATCCTCTGGGGGCAGCTGAGAATGAGGAAATGGGCAGGTTTCAGGGTTATTGATGTGTAGGTCTCAACAGCCAGCCCACCTGTGAACCCTGCAGCTGGCGGTGAGTTCCTCAAAAATTGAAAATAGAACTTTATGTATTTAATTATATGTTATTGTCTGTGCTATTACAGTTGTCTCAAGTTTATTTCTTTGCCCCCTTCCCCCCAGCACCACCACAGTCCCTCAGGCAGTCCCCACACCATTGTTCATGTCCATGGTTTATGCATCTATGTTCTTTGGCAACTCTGTTCCCTAGGCTGGAGTGACATCCCCATGACTATTCTGTACCTACCAGTGTGTACATCATAGAACTTTCATAGGATCCAGCACTTTCACTGTGAGTGTCTGTTCAGAGGACATGGAATCAGGATGTCAAAGAGATATCGGCACTCCCAGGTTCACTGCATGGTTATTCACGACAGCAAAGACATGGAAACCACCTCAGTTTTTCACCAGCGGAGGATGGATGAAGCAGCTGTGGAGTAAGGATACACAATGGAATACTCTTCAGCCATAAAAAGCGTGAAGTGCTGCCGTTTGAGACAACACCGAGGCACCAGGAGGACATTATGCTGAGTAACCTGATCCAGACACAGTGAGGTAAATCATGCATGGTTTCCCTCATATGTAGATTAAATTTTTTAGAGCTCTGAACTCAAGTGAAATAGGGAAAGTGGTGATTACCAGCGGCTGGGGATTGGGAGAAGAAAATATTTATCAATACATGTAATTTTTCTGTTGTATGACAAATATGTCTGGAGACTGAATGTACAGAGTGTTGGTCATAGTTAAAAATAATAAATTATACACTGGAAATTTTCTGTGTTCTCCCCCACACAAAGAAAAAATAGAAGCTGTGTTAGTATACATTACTATTTTGAGTGTGGTACACTTTTCAGAGTGTACATATATACTAACACACCAAGATGTACACCTTAAATATACACAATTCCTATTTGTCATTATTCCTAAAAAGCTGGGGAAAAAAGAAAAAAATTCTGGTTAAATAATATAGCATTTTTATTTCTCTGAATTATTTCACTTGGCACAATGAGTCTGTCCATTCATGTCCCAAAGGGCCAGAATTTATTCTTTTTCATGCATGAGTAATATTCCATTGTATATATGTATCACTTTTTTATTTATTCATCTATTGGTGAGCACTTAGGTTGCTTCCACATCTTAGCTCTTATAAATAATGCTGCCGTAAACATAGGGATGCATATATCCTTTCAAATTAATGTTTCATTTCTTTGGATAGACACCCAGACTAAATCCATTTCTAACCTTAGTTCCCCAGCTATACTAGCCTGAACTCAGGTTCTCAGCAACTGCACATACACGTCACTGAGGAATGCCATATACCACAGAGCAACTACAGGAGCTGTCATCTTTGTGGCGTGTGGTAACTGTAGTAGACTGATGATGCCCAGAAAGAAAGAGTCCACATCCTTGTGGGTCTCAGCCTGATGCAAGAGGCGGACAGGAGATGGTCACATTTAACATCTGTTACGAGATGACCATCTCTAGTGAAGTGTGAGCAACAAGCTGAATGTCCTGGAATGTCTTATCATGTCTCAAATTCATAAAAAAATTTCTGCCATGTATAGTGTTCCACAAATTCTGAGACTACCACCTGCCACTTGTGCTTTTTCTGTTTTTTTCCCCCTTTGGTAACCACTGTCTTCTGGAGAAAATCCAAACATCTGTTCTTAGCACACAGTGCACCTGCAAATGCTGGCTTCTGTAGACCTCCCTGTCTTAGCCTTTATTCCTTTACTCTCTAATTGACTCAGCATTTGCAGAAACAACCCACAGACTGCTACGTGCAATAAAAACTCCCACTCAGCTCTTGTAAGTAGAAGGTGCTAGTCCTCCACCAGACACATTCCTAGAGTTCTAGAGCATTTAGGTGGAGAAGTCACTTGCACTGCAGCATCTCTTTGTCATGGTCTCAGTTACTCTTGTTCCCAGGGGCTCTGGGCCACCACACTCACATGCCCAGTGGGCTGGCTTCTAATTGCTGTCTCTCCACGCTCCATCATGCTGGACCACGAGCTGCGTGAAGCAGCAGGAGGACAATTCTTGGGACTCTGTGATCCTGGCACAGCTCTGCCTGTGAACCCTTGTGGTGGGTGCACTCAGGGGTCTGTGGGACCATGACTAGAGCACAGGTGTTCAAGGCCATGGTGCTTCCAGCACGTGCCAACCACAGGACACACCAAGTATTTTCCTTTCTGATGAGTAGTCCACCCACCCATCCCCAACACCACCCATTCGAACGTGGAGGTCTTTGAAGTGGCCAAGCTCCTGTCAGGTCCATGGCTTGTCCCCTGAGCAGAAGTTTTTAACAAACCTGGGATGACAATCTTGTGCAAGGGTGGCCATTGACGGAATCTCTCTGTGCACATTCTCAGACCACCACTGAGTCTTTCTTCATCAGGACACTGAAGTGTTTGCCCTCCCCAAGTCTTCTCTCCCATAGGTAATTCTTTTTCTTAAATATTTTATTCATTATGCTCTTACAGTTGTCCCATTTTTCTCCCATGTATTCCCCTCTGCCCTGTACCCGCCTCCTATCATCATTCCCCCACCTTAGCTCATGTCCATGGGTTGTACATATAAGTACTTTAGATTCTCCACTTCCCATCCTATACTTAACCTCCCCATGTCTATTTTCTACCTACCAGTTACACTTCTTATTCCATGTACCTTTTCTCTCATTCTCCCCCTTCACCCTCCCCACCGATAACCCACCATGTGATCTCTGTTTCTGTGACTCTGTTCCTGTTCTAGTTGTTTGCTTAGTTCATTTTTCCTATACTCAGTTATTCATACTTGTTTGTTGTCATTTTACTGTTCATATTTTTTATCTTCTTTTTCTTAGATAAGTTCCTTTAACATTTTATGTAATAAGGGCTTGATGATGATCAACTCCTTTAACTTGACCTTATCTGGGAAGCACTTTATCTGCCCTTCCATTCTAAATGAATGCTTCACTGGATAGAGCAATCTTTGATGTAGGTCCTTGCCTTTCATGACTTCAAGTACTTCTTTCCAGCCCCTTCTAGACTTCAAGATTTCCTTTGAGAAATCAGCTGATAGTCTTATGGGAACTCCTTTATACATAACTGTCTCCTTTTCTCTTGCTGCTTTTAAGATTCTTTTTTATCTTTAATCTTGGCTAATGTAATGATGATGTTCCTTGGTGTGTGATTCCTCGGGTCACATTTCTTTGGACTCTCTGAGCTTCCTGGACTTCCTGGAAGTCTGATTTTTTTTGCCATATTGGAGAATTTTTCTTCATTGTTTGTTCAAGTAAGTTTTCACTTTCTTGCTCTTCTCCTTCTGGCACCTCTATGATTCTGATGTTTGAACATTTAAAGTTGTCTTAGAGGTTCCTCAGCCTCTCCTCATTGTTTTGAATTCTTGTTTCTTCATTCTGTTCTGCTTGAATGTTTATTTCTACCTTATGCTCCAAATTGTTGATTTGAGTCCCAGTTTTCTTCCCTGTATTGTTAATTTCCTGTATATTTTCCTTTATTTCACTTTTCTTTTTTATATTTTTTAATTGATTATGCTGTTACAGTCGTTCTATTCCCCCCTTCATTCCCCTCCACCCTACCCCCCCATCCCCACCATTACCCCCCCTTTAGTTTATGACCATGTGTCTCGCGAGTCCTTTAGATTCTATATTTCCCATGCTATTCTTGCCCCCCCATCTATTTTCTATCAACTGTCTATGCTACTTATTTTCTGAAACTTCTCCCCCCTTCTCCTCCTCCCACTCCCCTGTTGCTAACCCTCCTTGAGATCTTCATTTCTATGTTTCCACTCCTGATCTAGCTGTCCTTTTAGTTTGCTTTCGTTTTAGGTGTGGTTGTTAATATCTGTGAGTTTGTTGTCCTTTCACTGTCCATGTTTCTTTAACTTCTTTTTCTTAGATAAGTCCCTTTAACATTTCATATAATAAGGGCTTGGTGATGATGAACTCTTTGAATTTGATCTTATCTGAGAAGCACCTTATCTGTCCTTCCATTCTAAATGAAAGTTTTGCTGGATAGAGCAATCTTGGTTGTAGGTCTTTGGATTTCATGACTTGGAATACCTCTTTCCAGCCCCTTCTTGCCTGTAAGGTCTCTTTTGAGAAATCTGCTGACAGTCTGATGGGGACTCCTTTGTAGGTGACTGTCCCCTTATCTCTTGCTGCTTCTAGGATTCTCTCCTTCATTTTAATTTTGGCTGATGTAATTATGATGTGCCTCGGTGTGTTCCTTCTTGGGTCCAACTTCTTTGGTACTCTCTGAGCTTCCCGGATTTCCTGGAAGTCTATTGCCTTTGCCAGATTGGGGAAATTTTCCTTTATTATTTGTACAAATAAGTTTTCCACTGGTGGCTGTGCCTTTCCCCTTTCTGGTACCCCTATAATTCGGATATTGGAGCGTTTAAAGGTGTCCTGGAGGATCCTAAGACTCTCCTCATTTCTTTGACTTCTTGCTTCCTGACTCTTTTCTGTTTGGCTATTATTTGCTTTCTTCTGGTCCACTCCATTGATTTGAGTCCCAGTTTCCTTTTCGTCGCTATTGGTGTCATGTGCAATTCCATTCATTTCAATTAGTTTCACCTTCATATATTTGTCTAATTTGTGGCTATAATCAACCAGTTCTGTGAGGATCCTGATGACCAGTGTTTTAAACTGTGCATCTGAGAGTTTTGCTATTTCTTCATCGCTTAGGTCTATGGGCTCAGGGACTTTGAGAACTTGCGACATTTTTGGTCTGTTCTGGCCCTTTAAGTGTGAGAAGCGGCGGCTTGGACTCCCAGGTCGCTGGGTTGTGACGCTGTATGTGGGGGCGTGGTCAGAGCGGGGGAAATGGCGGCGCCCTTTACTGCCGCTTGCTGCGGGGACGCCGGGCCCCAGTCCAACCGCCCACTCCCTCGCCTGTCCGCTCGCGCACAAATAGGCGACCACAGTCAACACCTGGCACCGCTTCCCCGCTGTCTCCTCCTCGGTCGCTCGCCTGGTCACTCCCTCGGTTGCTCACTTGGTCCAACCCTGTGCCTGGATTCCGCATCTGGATTCCGCGCCTGAGCCCGTCTGACCGAGTCCTCCTGTGCAACCCCGCTCCACCAGCCACTGGTTTCGCCCCTTACAGGTCAGGCTGAAGAATTTGTTGTTAACGGACTTCAGAAAAGTTCAATTTTCCGTGTTCTGGCTGTGATTTCTGTTGCTAATATTTAGTTGTCCCTAAACTTGGTTGTATGAGAAGGCACGGCACATCCACCTATACCTCCATCTTGGCGGAAGTCTCCCATTATTTACTTTCTTCTGGTCCACTCCATTGATTTGAGTCCCAGTTTCCTTTTCATTGCTATTGGTGTTCTGTGCAAGTCCATTCATTTCAATTAGGTTCACCTTCATATATTTGTCTAATTTGTGGCTATAATCAACCAGTTCTGTGAGGATCCTGATCACCAGTGTCTTAAACTGTGCATCTGAGAGTTTTGCTATTTCTTCGTTGCTTAGATTTATAGGCTCTGGGGCTTTGAGATCTTCTTGAGCCATTTTTGGTCTGTTTATGCCCTTTAAGTGTGAGGAGTGGAGCCTTGGGCTCCCAGGTCACTGGGTTGTGATGCTGTATGTGGGGGCGTGGTCAGAGCGGGGAAATGGTGACCCCCCTCTGCTGTTTTGTGCGCTGGGTGAGGAGCAGCACCTTAGGTGGTTCAGCTGGGCCGGGCCACTCAGAGTCACAGGGTTGTGACGTTGTATGTGGAGGTGGGTTCAGAGCAGGGAAATGGCGGCGCCCTCCCTGCCGCTTGCTGTGGGGACCCGCTGGGTTCCGGTCCAATCGCCCACTTCCTCGTTTGTCTATCCACGCACAAATTCGCTACCACAGTCAACCCGCACCCCTGCTCCCTCGCTGTTTCCCTCGTGGTCGCTGGCTTGGTCGCTCGCTCAGTCGCTCGCTAGGTCCAACCCTGTGCCTGGATTCCACGTGCGCCTGAGTCCATCTGACCGAGTTTTCCTGTGCAATCCCGCTCCACCAGCTGCTGATTTTGCCCCTTACCGGTCAGGCTGAAGAATTTGTTGTTAACAGACTTCCGAAAAGTTCAATTTTCTGTGTTCTAGCTGTGTTTTCTATTGCTAATATTTAGTTGTCTCTAAACTTGGTTGTGTGAGAAGGCACGGATATCCACCTGTGCCTCCATCTTGGCGGAAGTCTATTTCACTTTTCATAGCCTTCACTTTTTATTCTATTTTATGACCATCTTTAACTAATTCTGTGAGTGTCCTGATTACCAGTGTTTTGATTACAGTGCATCTGATAGGTTGGCTATCTCTTCATCACTTAGTTGTATTTTCTTCTGGAACTTTGATCTGTTCTTTCATTTAGACCATATTTTTTTGTTGGTGCACGTGTTACATAGTAAGGGGTGGAACCTTAGGTATTTGCCAGGGAGGGGCAAGCCCCATGACTGTCTTATGATGCTGCTTGTTGGGGAGGGATTTGAGAGGGAACAATCCTGCATGCTCAGCTCTCAGTGGGCTTTCAGTCACTTCCTCTGCTGCCCACAAGCAAGTTGGGCTCTTCTGGTGCTGATTCCCAGGCAGATTTTTTTTTGTGCATTCTAGGACCCTGTGGGTCTCTCCTACAGACTTTCCTGTGAGGCTGAGAGTTTCTCCTGAGGTTCTGAGGCTTTCTTTTTCTGCACTGGAGCCCTGGGTTGCATGGCCTGTCTGCCTCCCCAGTTGTTTCTCCAGGTTTATCTGCATGCAAATGTGGGACCACCCACTTCACCAGTAGCTACCTCACCCAGTCCTCCAGCCACCACCTTGCCATGAGTCCTGTCTGCCCCAGCTGCCCATCCCTTCCCCTCCTAGCAGTCTGAATGAGTGTTTCTTTTTTAACTTCTTAGTTGTTGGCTTCCATATAGTTTGATTTTCTGGAATTTGTGGTTATTTTTGTCTTTAAATTTGTTGTTGTTGTTCTTTTGGTTGTTCAGGAGGGCAGAGTGTATCGACCTATGCCTCTATCATGGCCAGAAGTCCCTCCTCCAGGGATATCTTGCACTCTGAGCTTTGCTGAATCCCTATAGTGATCACCATGGCCCTTCCCCCACAGGCTGCAGTAAATGTGCAGAATTAACATCCATGCAGCACCGAAGCCCTGAGGTGAGGAGATCTGCAAACAGTGTGAATGTTCTCCTTTCCCTGGAACACAAGTAAGGGCTCACAGTCCACCACGCTGAATACAACACAACTGTGTTGATGGAGCATAATTTATAGGAAGAGGAAGCCCCAAATATGGAGCACAGCCTGGAAGACATATTTAGGCAGAACAGTGTTTTTTGTATCACTTGAAGTCAGGCTCCATGGTCCAGTGAAGTGCAGGATCACCTGTCGGTTACAGGACTGACTTGGAGTGAAAGAGAAGTTCTGAGTGACTCCCCCCAGAGCAGGGCAACCAGATGCCCCAAAAGTGTGTAGAAAGAAAACCCTTTAAAATGGTCCATGGGGAGCGGACCACACTGACAAGGGCAAGTTTATTACCAGCTGCATGGAGACAGAGTCTTGCTTACCCCTCCACCATCTCTTTTAAGTCATGATGATACTTCATTTTGACCCCATTTCACTTTGCTTTTTTTGTTTTTTGGTTTATTTGCCTATATTCTAGAAAACGTATTTGGAGTCTGTAACTGTTTTTGGAAGATGTTGGTAATCTTAACATCTTTTCCCATCCTTTGTTGTAAGAGAGCACTTGAACAAACCCACCGAGTGCATCCTGTCCAGGAACAACAGTGCGTGTACTGGGGGCTGACCAGAGCCCTGAGCTTAGGACCAAGCATCCCACGACCTAGAAACTCATCCCAGCTTGGGTGACAGGCCCTGCTCGGCTGTGTGTTGTATGAAACTTGAGGAAAGTGCACACAATTCTGGGACTTGAGTAATTTCATCATCACAGGCAGTTATGGAAACTTATTGTCCCTGACAGTGTGCACTCCAGTACCTTGTCAATGACAAGTGACATTTTTGAAAACGGCAGTGTCCCTTATAAGGTCACCGCGGTTTGCTCTCTGCATGCTCACACAGGAAAGCCCACAGAGACAACTGCCCGCAAACCCCACTGTTGTTATTCTAACGTTCATACCATGGAAAAGGTGAATGTGCTGTTTCCTGGACATGAGTGCAGGCTTGGGGGTGGGGGTGAGTATGTCTGGGTTTCTTTCTGTGTTTGTGAGCATGGGTATGTGTGGAATCAGTGTGTGAGTCCAAAGACAACCAGGCAAACGATTGTGGGAAAGCAGGACTCTCTGTCCAGGGGACAACGTGGTTAGGGAGACCTTGATGCTTTAGGACATGAAGCCTGGAAAATGGCCATTGCTGTGAGACACCGTCACCCCCTTCTCTCACCCAGATCCTGGCATCCAGGGCTGCAGTGGGTGGGAGACTGGGAATGAACTCCATTCAATGCCTTGAAAACACAGTGTTACTGGGGTAAAAATATGGGGTACCCTGGTTCCACCTCCACCTGGCTCCAGTGCAGGGAACCCCCCGCAGCTTCATTCCTTTAAAGAGCAGGTTGGTCCTGGATGGGTGGGATGCCCCTCACAAAGCCATGTCTTCCCTCCTCATACCTCCTTGATATCTGGCCCCTGGGCAGGTGTCTGGCGGGTTGCAAACACGTTGGAAGGCATTAGCTTCAATAACTTTTTAAGAATAGGCCCTGGCTGGTGTGGCTCAGTGGACTAAGTACTGGCCTGGGAACTAAAGGGTCACGGTTTGATTCCCAGTCAGGGCACATGCCTAAGTTGTGGAACAAATCTCTGGTGGGGGGTGGGCAAGAAACAGGCACACACTGATGCTTCTCTCCCTCTCTTTTTCCCTCTCTTTCCCTCTCCCTAAAAATAAATCAATAAAAAAAATCTTTAGCCCTGGCTGGTGTAGCTCAGTGAATTGAATGCAGACCTGTGAACCAAGGGATTACAGTTCAATTCCCAGTCAGGGCACATGCCTGTGCTGTGGACCAGTTCCCAGCAGGGGATGCATGAGAGGAAACCACACATTTATGTTTCTCTTCCTCTCTCCTTTCCTTCCCTTCCCCCTCTAAAGATTAATAAATAAAATCTTTTAAAAATAATAGTTAATGAGCAATATATTCATTTTAGATGTAAGTGCAGCTCAACACGGCAGGATTGGAGGTAAAGAAGAAAGGTTAATGGAGTGAGGCAGGTGTGAAGTCAGTTGTGTTCCCCAGAGCCCCCCAGCTGGCCCAGCACCACTGCACTGTGAGGGTCTCTGATGTGATCACGTGACCCTGCACTGTGGTCCGAGTCTGATTCTTCCTTCACTGGATAAGGTATCTCTGCTTTTCAGGTTCTCAAATGCCCAACATCTCCATGTCAATCTAAACAGCTGGTTTCCTCTCCCCATATCTCAGGCAGGATGAATTCTGATCATGTTTGTGGGGTGGGGTTGGTGCCATGGGGTCTAAATATGGAAAATGAGAGCAACTGCCCAGAGGAAGCAGGCTTCTCAAGGGTCCTTCAGCCATTCAGGATGTAGTATTGCAACAACTGGTATTTAAGGTGTTTGTGTATGAGCATGTGTGTGTGTCTTTAGTGCCTTCTAATAAAAACACTCATGAATGTCATTCTTGTCTGAATACCAATGACTCTCCAGAAGTTGAAGAGGAGACTGAACCCCAGCATCAGAGGTGCTCTGAAGAAGGAGAAATGACCCAAATGATTCACCCCAAGGAGAGGGAGAGAGAAAGAGCTTACGTCTCACAGAGACAGAGTCACGTAGGAAAAGTGTGAGACGCAGCCCCTGTGTTCCAGGGTCAGGAGGGAGCACTGAGCTCTCCTGTGGGACCAAAGTGTTTGCACAGACCCAAGGCTTGTCCCTGCCCCTCCCTTGGCTCTCTGTCATGAGGGCTCCATGAGGTCTCCAGTCAGTGAGGCAGGGAGGGAAGGTTACCTTTCTCATCCCCAAGGCAGTGGCCACATCCACCACCTGCTTGGGTTCTGAGCTCTAAGTCCTTACTCCCTTCTCCTGTTCACCATTCACATATGAGTCTAACTTCAGTTTCATAATCTGTCCATTTTCTGATGCAAATTCTCCCATGGTCCTCATTGTCTTCAGAGCTAAATCTAGACATTTCTTGCTGAACTAAAAACTATTCATGATCATCCAGATGTGACCCTCTAACCTCAGCTCTCACTTCTGTTTCCCTCACCAAGACACGTGCAGTGACCTGTGAACAGAGTCACACACACATGCACTCACATACACACAAACCTATACACATATAAATTCACACACATATTCACATACATGTATACTCAGACCCAAGCATGCACATTCACACACACACACATGCTTACTCACACAGACTCACATACCATCTGCCACTCAACACTTCTCTTTTTTCATATAGGCTGTTCCAGAGCCATGTACACCTAGTAATCACTACCAAGCCCCCAGAGATAGTCACAGAACAAGAAATACCACTGGGCTAGCATCTTTTTATTTCTCTTCTCCAAATGTGTTCATGACCACTAAGGGGTATGTGAGAATCATGTGCTATATTCAGGAAATATATTTATGAAACATAGTTGAAGACACAATGTTGGAGTTCAGCAAATATTGATATTTTCTTCTTCTTAACAAATATTGCGTATCTCCAGTCCATTTGTGACACAGGGCACATAGGACTTTGATAACAATCTGTCCATCACAGTCCATTCCTCACATACTCCCCTTGTCCTACAGATGGGACCCAATGTCCATGAATGATGGACAGCACCCACATGACCAACCACCACCTCAACCTCTCTGCCTCCCTTTTGGACAGTCTTCATGTCTCTAGCATTCTCTGGAATGTTTCTTCCTCTCTAGAATGTTCTTTAATTCACCTGTTTAGTTTCTGCCTCTTCAAACACCCATTCTCCCAACCACAGTTGTTCTAGTCACAGTCCCCAGTTGTTCTTATATTTTCACTTATTTCTCCTTTGCAAATAATTTCACTGAAATATTAGCCTTAGATTTTCCATATTATTCTAGTCAGAGTTTTAAAAAACAGGAAGTGGGCCTCCTGGATCAGGGATGTATTTCTGGTTCTGGCACAAATACCCAGCAGAAAGTAGGTGATCACTAATTATTTGTTTCTTGACTAGTCAAAGTCTAAAACTCTATTTCACTTGTGGAGGGCTGAGAAAAACAAGCGATTGCCCTATTTACAGCAAGGCAATAAGAGTTAAACAGAGGACATGAGTTCAAGCAGGAGCACAGACCAGGCAGAGGGTCCTGAGAGTGAGAAGAGACCCCAGGTCTGGGCTGAGTGTCCCCTGAGGTTAAAGAGTACCCTGAGCCCTCATCATGGAAAAACCCAGAGCCAGGCCCAGGGTGGGCCCATCCCCTTGCTGTGAGTCCACAGAGGTGGGAGCCCTGAAGGGAGGCAGCTGCCCCTGACTCACCACATCCTGTGCATCTCTTTCAGGCCTCATGTCTTGCACACCTACAGAGCAGAAGCACTCAGAGTGGACAGCATGATCTCCATCCTCCCTGCTCTTCTCTGCTTTGGTCAGTAGTGGGGACATGGGGATAGGGCAGCAAGAGGGACTGGGGAGGTTATGCCACCTTGCTTGTGGAGAACCTCAGCTTCAGGAAGTTTCAGACTCACTTTCAGGGCTGAGTGTGGGTCAAAGGAGATGGCAGGAGAATCTGTCCCCAAGCTCCATGCCCCATTCCTACTTCAGGCCCTGGGGCTGAGGACTCTTCCTCCACTCAGTGTGTATTTTCTCTCCCTTCCATGGCTCCCTTCATACTCAGCCCTGTGACATGAGGGTCCATCCCACATGGCACTCTGTGTCCACACATCTAAAATCTTCTGCCCCCCTCCAACTTTGCCTAATACAATTTTTTAAAATTTCTAACAACCACATTATCAGATGAACATTATTGAACCCTCAACAATTCAGTTCACAGGACTTTACATAAATCCAGTCACTGAATAAGTGGGGGAAACAAGACACACATGGAGAAAGTAGACCTACTGGGCTCTCTGGACCCCACAATTCTTTCTCTCCTCCCCAGGTGCCACCAGCCTCATTTTTGCAGAAAACCCACTGCTTGGGATCAACCCACTGGCATTTGAAGGGGCAGCTTAGAGGAGTGCTGCCTCGGGGAAAAACACTTCCAGAACACTCTCATGGGGGGTGTTTGGGAATGTCTGAGTGTGTGTGGAATGAAATGTGACTCAGCCACAAGAGAAAAGGAAATCCTGCCCTTCCTGAGAACACTGATGGAACCTGAGGGCACTGTGCTAAGTGAGATCAATCGGGCAGATAAAGAGGGAGACTGAATCATCTCATGGACATGTGGAATCTAAAGAGTCCACACATGTAGAAACAGAGGGTGGAATGGCGGTGACCATGGGGAGTTGGTCGAAGAGCATCGACATTCAGTTATGAGATTAGTACGTCCTGGGGTCTCATGTACATCCTGGTGAACACAGTTAACAAGACTGTGTTATGTACTTGGAAGTTGCTAAGAGAATGTATCTTCAATGTTCTCATCACAAGAAAGTGACAATTATGTGACTTTTTGCTCATACCTCTTTTTTATCTTTTATTGTTATTCTGTTAGAGTTGTCCCAATTTTCCCCCCTTTGCCCTTCTCCTCTCATGCCAACACCCTCCCATTAAAGCTATGAAGGTATCGTATTACAATATTTAAATGTATCAAATCAACACATTGTTACCTAACATTTTTGTCAATTATATGTCAGTAAAGCTGGAAAGAATTATCCTCAGGCTTTATGTAAAAACAACTTACCTAAAAAGCTGGACAAGTAATGGGGCTGACCATAACAAATATTGGAAAGTTTAGAATGTATCTACATATGTTCCCATTTATCTACTATTTACTATATAATATTTATCTAAATATAATATAAACATTCTATATTACATATAATATTTTGTATAATATAAATTACATGACTTTTCATATATAATGCATAAGACAATCATATATTATGTTTATTGTATATAATGTGTAATATAATAAACATTACATGTTATACATTTCTATTATATTATCATTGTTTACATATCATAACACTGTATATTTATATATTCACATTTTATATTACACAGTCATAATATGCAACATAATATATTTATATCACATTTATAATATATTTATTATATTATATTTTATTTCCATTATATAATTATATAATGTAATTATATACATTATATTATTATATGTTTATGTATAATTATATAAGTATATTTATATGTGAAATATATTTATAATTACTAATATTATATGTTTATAATATACATAATATTCATCTGTCAATCTGTTTGACATCTGAAATCTAATAAAACAAATTTTTTCTGACCTAAGGCACCCATTTAGTTGTATTTTATTGTGGCAAACTTACCAAACTAACAAACTCTCTCTCTCCTTTCCTTTCTGTGCCCCCCTCTCTCTCATAGAAGAAAATGTGTTTTGACTCATATGTAAACATATGATTTTAATAAAACAACAAAAAACACACCTCATAAGTTTTCTTCTCTTCTAGAAATGCAGAATCAAGCTGTTTACTTTGCTTTATGTTTGTCAAGAGAATAAAAAATACGCATCTGGTATAAAACCTAGTAGATATTAGAAGAGAGAGACTTCATATTTCTCCTGAAAATAGCTTTATATCGTTAACCATTTCACACAACAGCTTGGCCCAGAAATATTGAATACTAGGGACTAAGTTGTTGTTATCACTTTCAAATGGCAGCAAACTATGTTAAAATCTATCTGTGACTGTAGAGTTTAGGAAAGATAAATGTCACAGCTCAAACATGAGGGGTGTTGAGAAATGTGGCTCAGGTCAGTCCCTCAGCACCTGCTATTTTTAGGGTGAGCAGAGCTGGTCCTCTTCCTGTGTGACAGGCACCTCGTGCCCTGTACAGACTGTGGTGTGGGGACCTGGCCCACCACATCCTGTGATTTTGATCTTGAGCTTCACCTTAACAACTGAAAAACAAACCATCAAAAGCTCTGCTATAGCATTGTCCACTGAGACTTTACCCTGTTTCCTAAAGTAAGAACTGCACAAACCTGATACTGCAAAGTAAATCCACAAAAGTCATCACAGAATCCCCGAGTGAGGACGGCTCATCTACTGTCCAGAGGTTGTGCCCACCAAGACCGAGTCCAGCCTTGACCAGGAATGTGCACGTGTATGGAGGAGGCTTTCCTCAAAACCATGGGCCACCTGCGTCTCCCCTGCTTCTGTCCTATTTTGAATGTGAATTCCAAGAGGTGGTGGAGATTTCAGCACTGGTCGGTGGACAGCTCCACCCCCGCATCTACACCACTCCTGGCTCTGTGTGTGTGTTTCAATGTTTTATTGTTGTTTTAGTACAGTTGTCCCAATTTTCCCTTTGCTTTTCTCTGCCCATCTCATCCTCTGTTCCTGTGGAAATAGGCCTAAGAATCCCTATTCACCAATTCCAAAGAAATTATTCACCCCTATGTTCCTAGCAGCACTATTTACAATAGCCAAGTGCTGAAAACAACCCACGTGCCCATCAGTAAATGGGTGGATCAGAAAACTGTGGTACATTTACACAATGGAATACTACACAGAAGAATGAAAGAAGGAGTTCCTACATTTCACAACAGCATGCATGGGACTGCAGAATATTATGCTAATTCGGTGAAATAAGCCAGTTGGTGACAGGCAAATGCCATACAATCTCACCTATAAGAGGAATCTAATGAGCAAAATAAACTAATGAAAAAATATAACCACAGGCATGGAATCATGGACTGACAGTGAACAGAGGAGGCAGGGAGAGGGATAATAGTGGGGGGAAAGGGAAGGGACTAGTCAAAAACATGTATGAATGGCCAATGGGCATAAACAACAGTGTGGGAACTGACTGTGGGAGTGGAGGCCTGGCATGGGCAAACGAGGGCAAAGGGGGGAAATTGGGACAACTGTAGTAGAATAAAAATGTTCTAAAAAGATTTTTAAAACAAGCTTCCTACAAAGAAAAAAAGAACAAAGAAAAAAGACATTTCCTTCCTACATATTTTGCTAAAGAAAAAGTAATTGGTTTACTCCAGTCTGTTGTGAATCTAGCACTGATTTTGTGCATGGACTGAACTTCATTTGTGGAATGCAGTTCACCTTGTTCCACAGACTCCCCCAGCTGGCCCAGCACCTGTGATGGAAAGACCAGGAGCTGCCGACTGCACTGTGAGGGTCTCTCTTGTGATCACATGACCCTGCACTGTGGTCTGAGTCTGATCCTTCCCTCTGCTCCATTGGACAAGGTATCTCTGCTTTTCACTTTCTCAAACTTCCAACATCTACATCTAAATCTGCATGTCTGGCTTCTTTCCCGCAATATCTCAGGCAGAGTAAATTCTAATCACACTTGCGGGGGTGGTGCTGGTATCACTGAGCTACAAGTGAGAAAAGTGAGAGCAGCAGAGGAAGCAGGCTGCTCAAGGGTCCTTCAGCCATTCAGGATGTGGTATTGCAACAACTGACATTTAAAGGGTGGGGGGGTGTTGTTCTGCCTCTAACAGAGCTTCCACAAATGTCCATTGTTTTCTGAATCCTCAAAGTCTCCAAAGTTTCAATAGGAGAGTGATGCCCAGCACCAAAGGAGGCAGAAATGCTCTGCTCTGAGGAGGCAGAAATGACCCAAAGGACTTGCCCCAAGAAGAGGGAGAAAGAGCCCATGTGTCACAGAGACACAGAGTCAGGTGGAAACTGTGAGATGCAGCCCCTGTGTTCCAGGGCCAGGAGGGGGCATTGAGCTCTCCTATAGGAGCAGAGTGTTGCACAGACCCTGGGCTCATCCATGCCCCTCCCCCTGACCTTCCCCTGGCTCCCTGTCATGAGGGCTCCCTGGGGGCCTTCAGTCAATGAGGCAGAAAGAGAAGGTCACCCTTCATGTCCCCAAGGCAGTGGCCACATTCACCACCTGCCTGGGTTCTGAGCTCCAAGTCCTCACTCTCTTCTGCAAGTTGCCCTCCACAGCAGACTCTCCACCTTTTTCTCAGTATCTGTCCATTTCTGCTCAAATCCATCCATGGTCCTCACTGTCTTCAGGGTAAATTTAGACTCTTTCTTCTGAACTCACAGCTATTCATAATCATCCCCCTGTGACCCTCCATCCTCAGCTCTCACTGCTGCTTCCCTCAACCAGATTGGTGCAGTTACTTTGTGAACACACAGTCATACACACACTCACACATATACACTCACACATATACACTTACACACAGAGACACACTCACACCGCCTCCTATGGACCATCAGTTCTCCTCCATTTCTGCTTCCTTAGAGTCCTGTAGAACTAGCATATTCCAGCTAAAAGCACAGGATTAGAAGCAACACTGAGATTTCTTCTAATTTCCCTTCCCTGCATGTGTTGTGACACCTAAAAGTATGCATGGATTGTGTGGTGAATCCATGGAAGCCTTTCATCTAATAGTGTTGGACACATAGAACTGGAGTTCAATTACTGTTCACATTACGCATCACTGACACACATTTCACTGCTCTAGTTCCTCTATGACACGTGGCACATATGAGATTCATAACCCAGTGTGACTGTAACAGTTTATTCCTGTAAATGTCTCTGCCTCACACACTTAATCCAGTAGCGTTATGTGGCATAAGATAATTCCCATGACCAGCCACTACCTCACCTGCCCTCACTGCTATCAAACAGTCTCTGTCTCTAGATTTCCCTATGATATTCTTTCCTCTCCAGAGTATTCTCACTCCCACCTCCTAGGGTTCAACCTCATTCAACACCCCTTCCCTCAGCCCTGGCCCAGTGGCTTACTTGCTTGGCTTACTTACTTACTCACACACCAAAAGGTTGTGAGTTCCATCCCAGTCTTGGTGTGCAGCAGAGACAACTGATCAGTGTTTCTCTTTCTCATCAATGCCTGTCTAACTGTCTCTCCCATCCTTTCTCTACAAAATTGATAAACTTATCCCTCAATGAGGATGAAAAAAACAGCATTTCCACTTTCAACTCGGAATGCTCATTTTATGCTACAAAGAGTGCTCAAAATGCAGAAAATCAGTCTCCTGGATCAGGGATGCATTTATAGCTCTGACACACTCGGCTTTACTAGGTGATCAGTGAACAAGTAAATGCTGTTTGTGGGAGGCTGAGACAATGAGTAGCGAGTTCTATTTAGCGTCAGCCTGTGCAGGATGGGCTGAGGATCAGAGCCTGGGTCCCGCCCTCTCTGACAGGAGCAAAGACAAGGCAGAGGATCCTGGCAGGGAATAGAGACCCCAGATCTGGGTGAGAGTCTCCTCAATGCCTCGTGTCCTCTTGAGCCCTCATCATGGAAAAACCCAGAGCCGACCCCATGGCAGGGGCATCCCCTGGCTGTGGGTCCACAGGGGTTGGAACCTGGAAAGGCAGTAGCAGCCCCTGACTCACCACATCCTGTGCATCTCTGCCCTCCAGGCCCAGGATTGGAGCCTAGAGGACAGAGACACACCTAGGGTCTCGTCCACCTGCAGAGCGGGAGCACTCAGAGCAGATGTCCATCCTTCCTGCTCTTCCCTGCTTCTGTCAGTTACAGACATGGGGATGGGGCAGCAGGAAAGGATGTGGCAGCAGCACAAGCTTGTTCACAGGGAACCTCAGGGCTCAGGCAGCTGGAGCAGATGAGGCCCTAATAAAAGGGAATCAGCTCAGACATCTGGGTGCAAATCTGACAGGGACTCTCTTCCGGGGCTGAGTCTGGGCCAGAAAACGTGTGAGCAGAATGGTGAGTCCTCCCCAGTCTCTCTGTCCTTCCTCCTACTTCATGTCTGGGGCTCAGGAGGTGGCACAGAGGTTTGGAGATTAGGTGATAAAAGAGAAGGGGCATGGGCTGAGCAGGGAGAATGAGGGAGTGGGAAGGTCTTTCTAATGCAGCCTCTGATTCCTTCCAGGGACACTCCCCAAACCCACCATCTGGCCTGAGCCAGGCTCTGTGATCCCCTTAGGGAACCCCGTGATGATCTGGTGTTGGGGGAGCTGGAGGACTGTCTGTATCCAGAAGAGATGGATATACCCTTAGACAGACAGAAACTTCTGGTTCACAGGGACTGGGCCAAGTTCTTCATGGAAGACATTGATGCAGGAAAATATTTTGTAAATACCTCAGCTTCTCTGACTGTTTGAACCACAGTGACCTTCTGGACCTGGTGATGACAGGTGAGGGGACAACCAGGGGTCCCAGCCTCAGGCTCTGCCCTCAAGAAGAGGGATATTCACAGAGTGTCTCCCCCTTGCAGCCCAGCCCTGGTGGAGGTGAGGGCAGTGTGAGCCCCGTTTAACATGCTGCCTCCATCCCTCCTAGGATCCTATAGCAAACCCAGGCTCTCAGCCCTGCCCAGCCCTGTCATGACCTCAGGAGGAACTGAAATTTGACAGGTTCATTCTGACCAAGGATGGAGAAGACAGGCTCTCCTGGACACAAAACCCACAGCCTCACCCCAGTGGGCAGTTCCTGGTCCAGTTCACTGTGGGCCCTGTGACCCCCAGTCATGGGTGGACATTCAGGTGCTATGGCTGTTTCAGGAACACCCCTCCCCGGGAGTGGTCAGAGCCCAGAGATGCCCTGGAGCTCTCTGTCTCAGGTGAGGGGCCCTGACCCCATCCTCTCTGAGCACAGTCAGCTCAGGGTCCTGTCCCCAGGAGATGTCTGGAGTTGGTTGAGAGTGAGGGGCTCTGAGTGGTGGTCACCCAACAGAGATCTGCCCCCAGAGACCCTCCCAGCCTCTCCCTCCCCCTCACATGGGTCCCAAAAGTGACAGGTGAGTAGGAGGCATGTCTGGGGGCCCAAAGAGGAGATGTGGCAGAAGATCCTGGGTTATCTGCTGACTCCAGGGTTAGTTCCAGGCCCTCACCCCCTTCTGTCCTCATCTCCAGAACCCTCTGGAGGCCTCCACCCTCCATCCACAGGGCCCATCCCCACAGCTGCTGAGTTCCTGAGAACTCTGCTCAGAGGGAGCACAGAGAAGCCCCAGGAAGTTCTGAGCATCTATCAGGGGGTCTCATGTCACACAGACACAGAGTCCGAGGGCCACTTTCCTTATTTCCATGAAGGGGTCAGCTCATTCCCACCTCTCCCAATTCTTAATGAGTCTCTTGACATCAGCCCATGGAGGGACCTGCAGGTGATACAACTCACCCCACAACTCCCCATAGCTGTGGAAAACCCTGGAGCTCTTGGTCTCAGGTGAGGGGACACAAACCCTGTCCATTCTGAGCTAACTCAGCTCAAGTCTCTGGCTCTTCAGAGTCTGAATAAATGGGTGGATTTAAGGGGCTCCATAGAGGAGCCCCTCACACCAACCCCTAATTCATGGAACCTGGTTCATCAATTTTTGAGTTAGTGGATCTCTCAGTTGTAGGGAAATGAGCTTCTGGCATCTGCCTCTCAGACAGAACCCAGAACACCCCAATTAATCATTTCCATATTGTGACCATTTATGACCAATGCTGAGTTCTGAGGCACAGTAAACTCTGGTGCAAAGTGAATCTGTGGAGACTTCCGGCCAAGATGGAGGTGTAGGTGGATACACTTTGCCTCCTTGCGCAACCAAAAGAAGGGCAACAACAAATTTAAAAACAAAAAATAACAAGAACTGCCAGAAAATCAAACTGTGTGGAAGTCTGACAACCAAGGAGTTAAAGAAGAAACATCCATACAGACCGCTAGAAGGGGCGGAGATGGGCAGATGGAGTGGAGAGGACTCGCAGCAAGGCAGTGGCTGGAGGACCAAGTGAGGTGGCAGCTGGAGGACTGAGCAGTCCCACAACTGCATGCAGATAAACCAGGAGGAACAACTGGGGAGCAAGACAGACAGCACACCCCAGGGTTCCAGTATGGGGAAATAAAGACTCAAAACCTCTATCCGAAAAAACCTGTGGGGGTAGAGGGAGCAGGAGATACTCCCAGCCTCATAGGAGAGTTTGCTGGAGAGACCCACAGGATCCTAGAACATCCACAAAACCACCTACTTGGGAATCAGCACCCAAAAGGCCCAATTTGCTTGTGGGTAGCAGAGAAAGTGACTGAAAGCCCACTGAGAGCTGAGTAAGCAGCATTGTTTCCCCTGGAACCCCTCCCCCACATACAGCATCACAACATGGCAATGTGGGTTGCCCCATCCTAGCAAATACCTAAGGCACTGCACCTTACTACATAACAGGCACAATAAGACAAAAAAATGTATGGCCCAAATGAAAGAACAGATCAAAGCTCCAGAAAAAAGGCAACTAAGTAATGAAGAGACAGTCAACCTACCAGATGCAGAGTTCAAAACACTGGTAATCAGGATGCTCACAGAAATGGTTGAGTATGGTCACAAAATAGAGACAAAAGTGAAGGCTATGCACACTGAAATAAAGGAAAATGTAGAGGGAGCCAAGAGTGATGGGAAGGAAACCAGGATTCAAATCAATGGTTTGGAGCAGAAATAAGAAATAAACACCCAACCAGAATGGAATGATGAATAAGATTTCAAAAAATGAGGACAGGCTTAGGAACCTCCAAGACAATTTTAAATGATCTGACACCAAACCATCAGAGTGCCAGAAGGAGAAGAGGAAGAACAAGAAATTGAAAATTTATTTGACAACATAATGAAGGAGAACTTCCCTAATACAGCAAAGGAAATAGACTTCCAGGTAGTCCAAGAAGCTCAGAGTCCCAAAAGAGTTGGAGCCAAGAAAGCACACTCCAATGCACATCATAATTAAACGGCCCCAAATTAAAGAAAAGGAGAGAATCTTAAAAGCAGCAATAGAAAAGGAGACGGTTACCTACAAGGGAATTCCCATAAGACTATCAGCTGATTTTTCAAAAAAAATTCTACAGGCATGAAGGGGCTAAAAAGGAGTATTTGTGGTCATGGAAGGCATGGACCCACATCCAAGATTATTTTATCCAGCAACAGAATGCTGATTAGCTCATCAACAGGTATCCTATGATGTTGGAGTTTTATCACTGTTTATTATCCACAACTCTTACTACAGCCTATTCCCACAGTGGTATCTTCTGAAAACACCAATTTGCTCATACACTTTTTTACTAAACTTTTTTTCTATAACCTTAAACATCAAATTTAATAGTCCCTGCAGGGAGCAGAGGTCCCGTGTGACCAGGGAAAAGCACACCAGGGTGACTCACAGATCTCAGAATAATCACCCTCTTCCTGGTCTATGCTGATGTCCTCTCACCCTCCTGGGCTGGTCCTATGCTGGATGGGGCACCTGCTCAGTAAACATCAGCCAGATGCCAGAATGGAGAAATCCCAGGAGAATCTTTGCATCTGTGCTGTCTCAGGAAAGAAAATGAATGCCCTCGGTTATGTGGGTTCCAGAAAAGGCAGAGTCAGAACTGCCACAGACATTGGGCTGCTCCTGCATCCTACCCAGCATCCTCTACCCTCATGTTGAGGTGTTAACCCCCTGGACTTGGGTGTCACATGAGGTGGAGGCAGTACATGTGGGGTCTGCTGAGACTCAGATCTGGTCTGAAAAGATCCAGAACCTGCTGTCTCCCTGACCACCCTTCAGGGAGGGAAGATTGCCGCTGAGTGGGAAACTGGGACTTGTCACACGGAGGTACACCCTGTGAGTCCATCTGTCCTGCTGAGCTGTGGACACTGTACATCATCTGCACCACTGGGGACCCTGGGAGACAGCATTATGACCCTGACTTTCATCGCTCTTCTCGGTCTTGGTGAGTTTTGGCAAAAAGAGAGGGATGGGGTGCCCTTTCCTCCCAGGTCCGCTTCCCTGAAGGGGCCCAGGACTGAGGAGGCTCAGTATGGGTAGACCTCCTGGTAGAAGGAGAAGGGGCTCAGCCCCAGGTCTGACCCCAGCACTCAGGGGCCCAGACCGGGCCTGGAGCTTCTGTGTGTGGGTGAAGGATAATCTCACAGGGACTCTCTTCCAGGGTTGTGTTGGAGCCTGAGGGACCAGGTCCGGGCAGGTGAGTCCTCCCCCAGAACTCCTGCTTTAGCACAATGATGCCCCTGGGCAGATGGGGGAACCACAGTGGGTCTGGGCTAATGATGACCAGTGTGGGATGGGGCTTGGAGTGACCCTGGTGACACTGAGGGGATAAGCACACTCCTGACACTGCAGATCTGATTCCTTTTCAGGAGTTCTCCCCAAACCCTCCATCTGGGCTGACCCAGGCCCCATCGTCAGCAAGGGGAGCCCTGTGACCATCTGGTGTCAGGGGTCTCTGCAGGCGGATGGCTACAGTCTATATAAAGAGAGGGGCTATCAGCCCTGGCATACAAGGACCCTACAGGCCTCCAGGAACAAGACCGGGTTCCCCATTAAATCCATGAGTCCCAACAATGTGGGGAGATACCACTGTGCATACTCCAGCTCCAGATACTGGTCCGAGCAGAGTGACACCCTGTTGCTGATGATGACAGGTGAGATGGTGGAACAGTCCCCTACTCACAGGCAAGGAAGATCAGAGTGTGGCTTTAGAGAGACCTCACTGCTCACAACCCACACTTGGAGAAGGTGGGGTGACTGTCCTTTCTAACTCAGATCCTCCTTCTCCCTCAGGAGTGTACAGACCACCCTCCCTCTCAGCCCACCCAGGCCCGGTGGTGAACTCAGGAGGGAACGTGTCCCTCTTGTGCAGCTCACAGCTCACTTCAGGCCCTTTTCTCCTGCTGAAGGAAGGAGGGGCTGAGCCGCCCCAACGCAGGAAATCAGAATGGAAGTACTATGATCGCAGGTGGCAGGCTGTCTTCACTGTGGGCCCCGTGAGCTCCTCCCATGGGGGGAACTACAGATGCTATGGTTCCTCCAGCTCCAACTCCAATGTGTGGTCACATCCAAGTGCCCCTCTGTACCTGGAGGTCATAGGTGAGGTGGCCCACTCTTGGCTTCAATTCTTTCTTTTGCCCAAATCACTGATCTAGACCTTGTGGTTAAAATCTCTGGGGTACTGGGGTCAGTGACATGGGCTTACTGGGGACAGAACCACAAGCAGGAGACTTAGGGAGGGACAAGTGAGAGCTCTCCCGGCAGCCCTAGTGGGTGGTTGGTGTGTGTGTCCCCTGGGTGACAATGACCTTCTCCCCAGGTGTTTACAGGGAGCCCTCCCTCTCAGCCCAGCCAGGCCCCCTGCTGCTGCCTGGAGACAACCTGACCCTCCAGTGTCACTCAGAGCCTGGATTTGAAAAATTCGCTCTGACCAAGGATGAGGGGCCCATACCCCCACAGAGTCTCCATGGGCAGCAGAGCCCCGATTTCCCCCTGGGCCCTGTGAACCTCACCCACGGAGGTCGGTACAGGTGCTACAGTGGACACAACCTCTCCTATGTGTGGTCGGCCCCCAGTGCCCCCCTGGACATCCTGATTGCAGGTGAGGAGCCTTGGGTCTCTGGCCCATGGTCACCGTGATGTTGTTGGGGTCCAGGTGAGGGTCCTGGAGCAGAGGTTTAAGGAGACTGAGGTCTAGTGGGAGGGAATAAGAGGCAGAAAGATAAAAGGCACCCACCCAGAGGGACTGAGAGGAGCTGAGAGGGGTCACAGACAGTGTCCCTGGGGAAGGACATAATCCCTCAGCTCAGGGACAAGGGCATGGGAGACTGGTGACCCTCTGCTCATCACAGCTTTCCTCTCCCCAGGAATGTACAGGAAACCCTCCCTCTCTGCACAGCCAGGGCCCTCAGTGCCCTGGGGAGCAAACGTGACCCTGCAGTGTCGATCTGAGGCCAGGGCTGACACCTTCCACCTGCACAGGGAGGGGTCCCTGGATCCTCCCCAGCATCTTCGTCTGCAGGACACGGCTGCCCCCTCTCAGACCAACTTCACCATCAGCCATGTGACCTGGGGCCACCACGGAACCTACAGGTGCTACAGCTCACACAGCTCCTCCCCCTTCCTGCTGTCACAGCCCAGTGACCCCCTGGAGCTGGTGATCTCAGGTGAGGAGCCCCTTCCTGTCCCCATGTTCTCATGGTCAGTTCAGGACCTTGTCCCCACGGGACCTTTAGGCTGGATGTGGAGTGACGGTGTCACCAAAGGAGGGTCCGTGTGAGGGGACTCTCACGTCCCAGAGGGATGGAAAAGCCAGTGCCGCCCCAACCCTGCCTCATTGTCCTCTGTATTCCTGGGGCCCAGAGGGTTCTGGGGGCCAAAGGAGGCTACAGAGGCCTGGGGCTGAACAAAGGGAGGAAATTCCAGGGGCACCCATCACAGTCTCTTTTTCTCCAGCACCCGTGGTCTGACTCAGAGACTAGGACAAGTATGGTGACTAGCAGAGGCCTTGCTCCCAGAGAAAACAAGATGACCTGTTCTGGCATGTTTGTCTCCCTGCGGGTCTACAGGCCTGGGAGTGAGGCTGGAGGGATCATGGGCCCTCCAGGGTCGTGTGCCAGACAGGTGATGGGTGGGAGGCCATGGCAGAGGGAGATGCTGTGGTCCCACCCAGGGCAGGGTCAGCCAGGCTCAAGTGGGGAGAAGGCAGCCCTCACCTCTCATCTCCAATCTGAATTTCCAGAAGGCTCTGAGGGTCTGTCCCTCACCACCATGGAGTCCAGCCCAGAGGGATAAGTGAGGGTCTCTGTGGGGAGGTGGTGGGTGTGTCCATGGGGGACAGGGGACTGGGTCCTTTTCAGGTTCAGGCACTTTTGGAGGCTCTGACTTGGACACGCCCTTCCCCTCTCTGTGCCTCAGTGCCTCCAAGTGTAAAAGGGGAGAATCATGGCTCAGAGCTTCTTTTTTTCTTCACTTGTGGCTCTGAACTCCAGGGAGAAAGTGTGACAGGGAAGCACCCCAGGACATGATGTTATGGAAACGGTCCCCTCTGTAGCAGTGATGGTGACATGGTACAAAGAAGGACATGCAAGACAAGGAACTGAGGCACCCAGGTCCTTTCCCTCAGCTCACAAACTCACCTCAGGGCAGGGAACAAGGGCTGGAGTCAGACCTGGTTCAGGTCCTGGCTCTGCTGCTCCCACTGTGGGGCTGGGTGTTCCCTTCTCTTCTCTGAGTGTCAGGTTCATGTCTGTTCATCCCAGGTCCCTTCCTGCTCATAGGCCTGTGGTGACATTAGGTGACATAAGGGGCCTCACAGAGCTCAGGAGGCAGAGCCCCAGCCCAGCCCAACCATCCCAAGTGTGCATCAGGGTTCACCCCAATCCTGCCCACCTGCATACCTGCTATGCTGTGGGGCAGGTATTGAGAAGGACCCTCAGCTCTAGGTGACACAGGACAGACTCCTGAAGATGAGGAGCCCAGAGCTTGGTGCTGGTGTCTACCTGGGGGCAGCGTGAGGACACCAATGGGAACTGACATCCTGGGGTCCAGGCCCAGTCCTGCCCTGGCCAGGTTGGGTGACCTGGGGCACATGGCTAACCTCTCTGAGCTGCAATGGACTGAGTGGTGGGTCAGCCATCCCTGGTGCACCAGGGCTGTGAGGTTAGAGCAGATGAAGGACAGACCCCAGCCTGTGCCTTGCACACAGTAGGTGCTCATTACATGGCACCTTTGGCTCATTCATGATGTCACTCCAGCCCAAGGTCTCCAATGGTCCCTGCACATGCTGATTGGGGTCTCAGTGACCCTCATCCTCCTGCTCTCCCTCCTCCTTTTCTTCCTCCTCCACCACCAGCATCAGAGCAAAGGCAGGACATCGGGTGAGTAGGAAATGGGGTGACCTGGGTCACAGGAGAGAGGGGCTCAGAGCACCTGCTGCAGGAAACTAATAGATGGGGAAGGTCAGCTGAGAAACTGATATCTCTAGAATCTGAAATCAGAAATGCTGGAAAGATGGCAGTAAATTTCAGTACATGTATATAAATAGAAGGTACTTTTTCATGGTTTTCAATCTCCTGAAATATGACATGTATGCACAAGTGTGTTGCAGTTTCCTTCTTTCCCCTGCAATCACATGGGGAGGGGCCCCTACATTCCTTGGGCTGGGACTCTCCCTCTTGACCAGCCCAGAGGAAGGCTGATATCTGACCTCCTGCAGGGGCCACGGACCCGGAGCCCAAGGACAGAGGCCTGCAGACCAGATAATCCCTGCCCCAAAGGCCCCAGACCCCCACATCCACAGTCTCTGCTCTCCCCCTAACTCCCCTGTCGCTCCCCCAGATCCAACCCAGCTGTGGACGCCCATGAAGAGCTCCTCTGTGAGAGGAAGGGACAGCTGCTCTAGGAGAAGGGGACACAGGGATTTCAGGAAGCAATGGGGGAGGGGAAACCTTGGGAGGCTGTGGGGGTCAGAGGTGAAATCACACTGGGTGACCTGGCCCCTCACCTTCTGCCTGGGTTAGTGGCCCATCTGGGAGCAGGCCCATCTGGGAGTAGGCAGCCCTGAGATCAGGGACCATGACAGGAGACACTCCCTGTTCTTTCCCAGAAGATGCTGCCATGAAGGATCCACAGCCCAGGGAGAGGGAGGAGCTGGACCCTCAGGTGAGACCTTTGCTTCTGTCCAGGTCTCCAAGAACCTTCCTGTTCCCCAGTTTACTCTAATGGCCAACTCCCTGTCCACCTCCCCTGGTTCTCAGCAGCATCCACATTGACCTGTCCTTCTGGGCAGCAGGTTGTCCTGCTGTGACTCACTGCCCCGTCTTTCCTGTGTCCTCATGACCCATCCTGGGTGGTCCCCTGTGCTGGCCCCTCATCCTCTGTCTGACCTTGTGCAGCTCCAGGTCTCAGGTGGAGGCTTGAATGAGTGAATGACCTGCAGGTCCCAGGGTCCTGTCACTCACTCACGCAGCAGCTGTGACAGGAGCTCACTGGTTCCCAGCTCCATGCCAGTGCCCCAGTGCAGCCCTGAGCAGCCTGTCCCACCCTCCTCGAGCTCACCTGTGGGTGGGGGAGACACCTGAAAACAGGCAGGTGGTGTCCTGGAGAGCCAAGTGCTGTGAAGGAGAATGAAGCAAGAGCAGTGGGTGGAGTGTGTGTTGAGGGGGGAGAACAGAGAAAACAGCAGGTGCAAAGGCGGAGGCAGGAACTGCTGCTTTAGCCAGATGGGCCCTGTGGCTGGAAGTGAATGAGCAAGAGACAGGGCATTAGGTTAAGAGTCAGATCCACAGAAGCACCAGGAGCCCCAAGGCTCAGGGAGTCCCTACAGACTCCATCAGGAGAGTGACCTCATCTGATCTGAAGTTTAGTTGTCACTCTGACACCATGTGGACACGTGACTGGAGGGTTTCAACCATGGGGTCAGGAACACACTGGTTCTGTCTCACTGTCTCTCTGCAGCAGAACAGGACCTATGATGACTTCCAGGGAGTGGCCTACCACCAGGTGACCCTCTCAATATCAAGGCAGATGCAGGGAATGGCTCCTTCTCCTTCCTCCTGTCAGAGGAATTGCTGGACATGAAAGGCAGACAAGCAGAAGAGGACAGACAGGTGGACAGTCAGGTGGGTCCCGTACTGTCCAAGCTCCAGGTTTACCCAACCCCAACCACCTTTCCCTCCTCTCACTGTCCCCCTGCTCCAGGCTGCTGCATCTGCTGCCCCCCAGGATATGACCTATGCTCAGCTGAGCCTCATGACCCTGAGATGGGGGACAACTGCACCCCTTTCCTCCCCATCAGAGGAGCCCCCTGATGACCCCACTGTGTATGCTGCTCTGTCCTTCCACTAGCCCAGGAAGGACCCAGAACCCACACTCTAGGGGTGCTGGCAGAGACCCCAGAAGGCATGGAAGCTGCCAAAAGGACACTCATTTGTGACCCTAGTCAGCCTGGTGAACCGACATGGGCCCCCAGCAGCTTCTGGGACCCTCTGGGAGTCCCCTGATTCTGCAATCACAGACAAGTACTATTCTTGCACTTTGGAATCAGAGCAACAAACTTCTCAAGCATCAACATGTGAATTTAGAACCAAAACAGAAGGCAGAGAATGCTTTCAGTGAATGTAAATATTACACATCAGTCCTACAAAATGGAACATTAACAACCATGAATGAACATCTTAGAGAAGAAAAAGGCGAAGACATAGAAACCACCTAAGTGTCCTCCCACACGTGCTGAGATGAAGCTGTGGCAGCCTGTGCGACGGAGTGTCACTTGGTCACAGAGGTGAACTCCTGTCAGTGCGGCAACACGGAGGCACCGTGAGCTTGTCATGCTATGTGGGGTAAGTCAGACCACACAGCATGAGGCCCATGCGACTTCACTTGTATGTGGGTGAGATCTGAAAGTCTTCACTGTCTATGGACTAACTGTGTGGAAGTTGTAATTAAATACTTTCCTGCAAAGTGAACTCGGAGTCTGAAAACCTTCCCTGGCAAATGCTTCATAACACTCATGCATGTATGAAACACACTCACACACGTACACTTAGATATACAAACATACACACAACATCCCTACACGCATTTCTCCTGAGAACAGAGAAGAAAGGCTCATCCCACAACAGAGTTTACCAGGCCAGAAATAAACTGATAATGAAAACAAAGGAGGGAGCTACCAAGAGCGAACCTCATGGGAAGCTCTCTCACCTGCACTCAGGTGCAGAGTCCTAAACAAAACATCACCAAGATGCATCAAACCATAAACTGCGTCATCCATCCCAACCACGCAGGTATGTGATTTTATGAATGCATGGTTTCATATTTTTAAAAAATCAACTCATAGAATTCAAACATTAAAAGTAATAGCAAAAAAAAAGAGATATCAACAGATGCCAAACTTTTGTTGAAATACAGCACAAATTTACAATGAAAAACTCCTCAGAAATAAGAGAGTTTGTATCATTTATCAAAACACCTTTCAAAAGCTTTACAAAGGAAATAATGCTTAAAGATAAAAACTTGAAACCCTTGTGCCTGTAACTGAGACTGGGACAAACACTGTCACTGTGGAGCTGAGCCTTCCCACAGCCTCACCACACCCTACGCCTGTGCATTTGGCCTGCCCGGCCCCTGGCCCAGATTTTGTGGGTGGAGGAGGAACCACTCTGCAAGGGAGAAGTGACAGGCCCACCTCCTCTGCCCTACTCTGTTCATCCTGGCCACGCCCAGCCACAGGCCACGCCCATCTACAGGCCACGCCCAATTGCCATCCCCAGAGCAGTTAGCTCCTGCACAGCCCCAGCTGTGGGGCAGGTCCAACCCCTCCCCACCACCACCACCTTTGCTTCACCTCCCACTCCCCCACACCTGACCCTGCACCTGTCCCTCCAGCGTCCACCACAGCATCTTCTGAATCTGCACCTGTTGGTGCCACCAAGCAGGAGAACCCGGCAGGAGAGCCAGTGGAAACTCCCATCAACAGTCAGACATCCAGACACTCTTCCCTGTCAAACTTTTTGAAGATGAACCAAGTGGGCTTGGGACAGGCCAGTCCTCTGAGAATATGGTCACTGAGATCCTGTCCATGGGCTGTGAACCAGGGCAAGCGATGCCAGCCTGAGGAGCCAGGGTCAATGACCCAGACAGCTACGCTGCATCTTTAAAGAGAACTCCGGAGACAGAGAAAGTCAAGGTGTGCTTGCTCCCCTGCCGTCAGCAGCTAGTTCAGGGGGCTCCTCAGCCAAGGGCCCTGTCCCTGGAGAGTCTGATACAGGAATAAGTGAGGGACCAGTAGGTTCCAGTGGACCAGACATGGAGGACCCCCTGACAGCACCCCCCACCCCATGCACCCTGGGTCCCCAGCTGTTGACTTCCTAGGGTCTCTCACCTTTACAAGAACAAGTTCACGAGTTCTGTGCCTCCCACCAAAAGCAGAACACACGGCTCTTATTTCTGGATGGAGACCATTTTCATTCCTGCCACCTGGTGGGAGAATGTCAACAGTCTGTAGCTGAGTGACAGAAGCCACACAGAAAAGATCACGTTTCCTGTGACTGCATTTGTGTGAAGTGTCCAGCAGGAGGAAACCCACAGGGACAAAAGTCAGGTGGGCTTGTCGGGGCTGACAAGGAGGAGAGATGGGAGACTGAAGGCTTTGTGATATATGAGTGTGGTGTTACACAAATTTCTTATTAAAACCAGATGAAATTCTGGTTCAGACACTGTGTATATTGGATTCTAGTGAATTCTATATTTGAATCTATATTCCATTCTATGTTACAGGAACATATCTCATTAAAAAGAAATGCAAGCCAATGGCCATGGTTCCCTGTGGATCCTTTTTACCTCAGAAGTGGCCCCACAACCCCAGGGCCATTTCATGGGAGGCGGGACTCCTACCAGGTTCGAGATGCCCTCAGTGCCCAGTGCTCAGGCTCAGCCCCTGGTGGGATTCCCACCCTCACTCCTGAGTGTGGTGAGCCCAGGATCCAGGACGAGCAGCATCCTACCTGTCTCCCCTCAGTCTGGGCTCAACTGCCATTCAACCAGGGATGCCCTGTAGCTCTAATGCCCCCTGAAGGCTTGGGGGACAAGTATGAGGCTTCCATGTAGCCCTTCCTCCCAAACTCTCTCAAGCCCATGTTTTAATCAGGCCCAGAAATGACGCAGATGGAGCCTCTCCATGTCTCAGGCACTGCTGATCCTCACAACTCCTGTGAGAGCTGAGCTTCCACCCTTGTCTGCAGTGAGGGGAAAGGGGGAGGGGAGGTGACTGGCTCACTCCATTAACATTTCCCTGTACCTTAGATTAAAACCTGTGAATTGTCCACAACTGGTGCTTTTGCCCAGCACCTGGAGACCAGTGACCAGTGTCAGATGCAGGGTTACCCACCACAGAGCAGGGCGGTGAGGAGGCAGACGTCCTCAGGGGCCTGGATGGGAGAGATGGAGAGAAGGTCTCCTGCTCACAAACAAGAGGGAGTCAGAGAGAGGGAGAGACCAAATCACACAACTGGCCAGCAGGGCAGGTGGATCCCGCTGTGAGTCAGGGGAATGTTTTATAATCCACTCTCCATGTTTTCTGCTTCTCACTGGGGTGCACAGTCCTGGGACTGCCCCCTGGCCACCCCAGTGCATGCAGGCAGGAAGTGGGGAACCCTCAGCTCTTCCTTCTCTTCCTCTGAAACCAGGAACACACCCACAGCTCTGACCCATATCCCACTTTCTGGGGCCCAGTTCCCCTCCACAGTCACGCTCACATAAAGACCCAGGACATTGTGTGGGTGTGACCCCAACCTTCTCCTCTCTGGCCTCCTGTGGACCCTCACTTGCTGCTGAGGGATTTTACTCCCATGCACCTGAACTTACCTGTCACAGACCCTCCTTGCACAAGGTCTTTCCACAGGTCCCCACCTCACTCCAGCCCAGCCAAGCAGCCCCACCTAACGGTCCATGTTGTTGGAGACGAGGCTGAGCTAACCTCTCCATCCCAAGCAGAGACAACTGGTCCTACAAAGCAGACCCTTCCCAGTGCCCACCTCCCCTCCCCAGACTCACACACCTGGGTCATGGCCACACTGGCCTTGTCATGAGTACTCCCTGAGACCATCAGAACAGAGCACACTCTCTGGCTGCACACCTAGACCAAGATAATGAGAAAGAAATGCTCCCACCTCTTGTCACTCAGACTCTCTTGTATTTGTGTTATGGGATTTGTGTTGGGTTTCATCAGAAATTCTCATAAACGACACAGAGTATTAATCAGCTCAGTACCTCGGTGTTAGATAAGGGCTGAAGTTTTATCACAGTTTATCATCCATTCCTCACTCCTACAGCCTATTCCCACAGAATGTCATCTCAAAGCAGCAACCTGCTCACACATTCCTTTACTGAAAAGTGTTGCCTTACCTGGAAGATCAAGCCCAGGAGTCCCTGCAGGGAGCAGGGGCCCTGTGGGACCACTGACCCCTAGTGTGTCCTGATCCCTCCCTCACCTGCAGGTCCCCACACTCCATGGCACCCACCAATATGCAGTCTCTCTGTGCTCCATTTTTCTCCTTCTCTGAAACTTACGAACATGACACCCACATCATTCATTGCCTACATATTTGTCCTATCTGGTGTCACTAACCAGCACTGGGTGTGTCCAGGGGAGGAGTCAGTCACCTTCCCCAATGAACTTCATGCCTGGACAGGGTACCTACTCAGTAAACATGGGCCAGATACTGGGATTGACAAACAAAGAGGAGGAAAATATGCATTTACATTGTCTCAAAACAAGGAAGTGAATTGCCCAAGGTCACACTGGTTTCCGAGGAGGCAGAGTCAGAACTGGAACAGAAACTGGGCTGCTCCTGAGAGCTGCCTGGCATCCCCTAACTTCATGATCCAGAGGTGTCACCCTCTGGATTTGGGTGTCCCATGAGGTGGAGGCAGTGTGTGTGGGGTCTGCTGAGACTCAGATCTGGTCTGAAAGGTCCCAGACCCTGGTGTCTCCTCGACCACCCTCAGGCAACACAGACTGTGGCTGCAGAGGAAACTGTGAGTTGTCACACAGAGCTGGGATCTTCTCACACCCCATGTCTCTCTGTCCAGCTGAACCCTGTGGACTTCATATACCATCTGCCCCCAAGTGAGACCCTGGGAGACACGTCATGACACTGACCTTCATTGCTCTTCTCTGTCTTGGTGAGTTTGGGGGAAAAGAGAAGAAAGAGTTTCCTGTTCTCCCAGGTCTAGGACTCTGGAGGCTCAATGGGGACAGGACTCCAAGGGGATGGAGAGGTGGCTCAGCCCCAGGTCTGACCCCAGCACTCAGGGCCCCAGACCAGGCCTGCAGTTTCTGTGTGTGGGTGAAGGATAATCTCACAGGGACTCTCTTCCAGGGCTGCGTTGGGGCTCGTGGGACCAGGTCTGGGCAGGTGAGTCCCTCCCTAGACATCCTGCTTCAGCACAATGATTCCCCTGGGCAGCTGGGGGACACAGAGTGTCTGGGCTGGTGGCAACCAGTGTTGAGGGGCTTCGGAGTGACACCTGGGAAAACAGAGGGGACAAGAACACCCACTGAACCTTTGCAGTCTGATTCCTTTGCAGGTGTCCTCCCCAAACCCTCCATATGGACTGACCCAGGCCCCATGGTCACCAAGGGGAGCTCTGTGACCATCTGGTGTCAGGGGTCTCTGCAGGCAGATGCCTACATTTTGTATAGACACAGGGGCTCTCAGCCCTTGAATAGAAGGATCCCACAGGACTCCAGCAACAAGACCGGGTTCCTCATTCAGTCCATGAGCTCTGAGTACACAGGGCTGTACCAGTGTGCATACAGCACTGGGGAAAGGCTGTCTGAGAGGAGTGAGCCCCTGCTCCTGGTGCTGACAGGTAAAGAGAACCCAAGACTTCTCTCCACTGTGCACTCCTCCACAGAGCATTAAGGGAACAGAGAGTGGCTTTAGGAGGGCCTTATCCCTCACAGCTCACACCAGGGGTGACAGTCCCCTCTAACTCAGATCCTCCTTCTGCCTCAGAAGACCACAGCATGCCCTTCCTCTCAGCCCACCCAGGCCCAGTGGTGACCTCAGGAGGGAGTGTGTCCCTCTTGTGCAGCACACAGTCCACATTGGACACTTTCCACCTGCTGAAGGAGGGAGGGGTGGAGCCACACTAACACAGGAAATCAGAACTGAGATCCTGTGATTGCAGATGGTAGGCTGTCTTCCCTGTGGGCCCCGTGAGCTCCTCCCATGGGGGGACCTACGGATTCTGTGGTTCCTCCAACTCCAACTGCAATGTGTGGTCACAGCCCAGTGACCCTCTGCACATCGAGGTTACACCAGGTGAAGCCAAGTCACATGAGGTCAAACCAGATGAGGTCACCCACACTTGGCTTCAATTCTTTCCTGTGCTACAAATATCTGACCTAAAACTTATGCCTGGTAAAGTCCTGGGTGCTGTGGGTGTTGGTGACATGGATTTCATAGGGACAGAACCACAGAGAGGAGACTTGGGGAGGGACAAGTGAGAGCTCTCCCTGCAGCCCCATGGGCAGTGGGTGTGTGTGTCCCCTGGGTGACAATGACATTCTCCCCAGGTGTGTATAGGGAGCCCTTGCTATTGGCCAAACCGGGCCCTCTGGTGCTGCTTGGAGACAGCCTGACCCTCCAGTGTCACTCAGAGCCTGGCTTTGACAGATTCACTCTGACCAAGGACGAGGGTCCCACTCTCCACCAGAGTCTCCATGGGCAGCACAGCCCCAATTTCCCCCTGGGCCCTGTGAACCTCTTCCATGGGGGCCAGTACAGGTGCTACAGTGGACACAACCTCTCCTATGGATGGTCAGCCCCCAGTGCCTCCCTGGACATCCTGATTGCAGGTGAGGAGCCCTGCCCTGCCCTCTGTCCTGACTGTGTGGTCAGGGCTCTGGCTTGGGGTCAGCATGGTGATGATGGGGTCTAGGCAAGGGTCCTGGAGCAGAGGCTGAGGGGGGCTGAGATCGAGGGGAGAAAGTAGCAGGCATGGAGATAAAAGACACCCACCCAGAGGCACTGAGAGGAGCTGAGAGAGGTCACAGACAGTGTCCCTGGGGAAGATACATGGTCTCTCAGCTCAGGGACAAGGGTATGTAGGGAGTGTGACCCTAACATCACAGTCCTCCTCTCCCCAGGAATGTACCGGAAACCCTCCCTCTCTGCACAGCCAGGGCCCTCAGCGCCCTGTGGAGCAAACGTGACCCTGCAGTGTCGATCTGAGGTCAGGGCTGACACCTTCCACCTGCACAGGGAGGGGTCCCTGGATCCTCCCCAGCAGCTTCATCTGCAGGATACAGCTGCTCCCTCTCAGGCCAACTTCACCATCAGCCCTGTGACCTCGGGCCACCACGGAACCTACAGGTGCTACAGCTCACACAGCTCCTCCCCCTTCCTGCTGTCACAGCCCAGTGACCCCCTGGAGCTCCTGGTCTCAGGTGAGGGACGTCCACCCCACGTCCAGTAAGGGAGCAGATTCTGTCCTAGGACAGCTCTGGCCTGGGATGGGAAGGAGGATGAAACAGTGAGGTCAGCAATAAAGGAAATTTCACCCCATAAATGATGGAGAAGATAGGGAGTCCACAACCTCTTTATGCCTTACCCCTCCTGAGGGTCAATTCAATGCTGGTGTTTGCAGGGAGGAGATAGAAGTGTGTGAAGGGACAACATTTGGGGGACATGGACTACAGGACACATGGGGAGGCAGGCTCACCCACAGCCTCCCCTGTTCCTGTGTCATGAAGCAGTCAGGGTCTGCAGACCCTCACCCACACAGACTGCCTAAGTTCTTTTTTTTTTTTTTTTTACCAAGTTTAATCAATGTTGTGAGCATTTTGATTTCCAGGGTTTTAAACCCTCCATCAAATAGGTTGGCTATCTCCTCATCACTTAGCTCTCTTTGTGGAGTTTTGCTCAGTTCTTTCCACTATTTCTTCTTCCGGGTGCACCTATTAGGTGGTAAGGGGGCAGAGTCTCCTGTGTATTGAGCAGGGCAGGGCAACCCTCCTCGCTGCATTGCAGCACTGCCTGCCGGGGAGGGTCCAGAGAAGGAACCATGCAACTCGCCTGCTCGGCTCTAGTTCCACTTTCCGAGGAACTTTCATGTGAGCCTGGGAGTTTCTCCCACCACAGCGACCCCCACCAGAGTCCACAGTCAGCTCAGAGTCCCAGTTTCCCCTTCAGCCAGCCCTGCCTGCACAGTCCACTGCCTCTCTGTGGGTTCTCTCCTTCCACCTGTCCTACCGATCTGGTTGGTGTTCTTGACTGTTTTTTATTTTTTTTAATTAAAAAAATTTTTTTTGTTATATTTCTTTATTTTTTTAAATTTTTTTTATTGATTATGCTGTTACAGTTGTTCTATTCCCCCTTTCATTCCCCTCCACCCTACCCCCCATCCCCACCATTACCCCCCCCTTTAGTTTATGACCAAGTGTCTCAAGTCCTTTAGATTCTATATTTCCCATGCTATTCTTGCCCCCCCTTCTATTTTCTATCTACTGTCTATGCTACTTATTTTCTGTACCTTCTCCCCCCTTCTCCTCCTCCCACTCCCCTGTTGCTAACCCTCCTGGAGATCTTCATTTCTATGTTTCCACTCCTGATCTAGCTGTCCTTTTAGTTTGCTTTTGTTTTAGGTGTGGTTGTTAATAACTGTGAGGTTGTTGTCCTTTCACTGTTCATGTTTCTTTAACTTCTTTTTCTTAGATAAGTCCCTTTAACATTTCATATAATAAGGGCTTGGTGATGATGAACTCCTTGAATTTGATCTTATCTGAGAAGCACCTTATCTGTCCTTCCATTCTAAATGAAAGCTTTGCTGGATAGATCAATCTTGGTTGTAGGTCTTTGGATTTCATGACTTGGAATACCTCTTTCCAGCCCCTTCTTGCCTGGAAGGTCTCTTTTGAGAAATCTGCTGACAGTCTGATGGGGACTCCTTTGTAGGTGATTGTCCCCTTAGCTCTTGCTGCTTCTAGGATTCTCTCCTTCATTTTAATCTTGGCTAACGTAATGATGATGTGCCTTGGTGTGTTTCTTCTTGGGTCCAACTTCTTTGGTACTCTCTGAGCTTCCTGGATTTCCTGGAAGTCTATTTCCTTTGCCAGATTGGGGAAATTCTCCTTTATTATTTATTCAAATAAGTTTTCCACTGGTGGCTGTGTCTTTCCTCCTTCTGGTACCCCTATAATTCGCATGTTGGAGCATTTAAAGATGTCCTGGAGGATCCTAAGCCTCTCCTCATTTCTTTGAATTCTTGCTTCTTGACTCTTCTGTTTGGCCATTATTTGCTTTCTTCTGATCCACTCCATTGATTTGAGTCCCAGTTTCCTTTTCATTGCTATTGGTGTCCTGTGCAATTCCATTATTTCAATTAGTTTTGCCTTCATATATTTGTCTAATTTGTGGCTATAATCAACCAGTTCTGTGAGGATCCTGATCACCAGTGTTTTAAACTGTGCATCTGAGAGTTTTGCTATTTCTTCATTGCTTAGATTTATAGGCTCTGGGGCTTTGAGATCTTCTTGAGCCATTTTTGGTCTGTTCGTGCCCTTTAAGTGTGAGGAGCGGAACCTTGGACTACCAGGTCACTGGGTTGTGATGCTGTATGTGGGGACGTGGTCATAGCGGGGAAATGGCAGCCTCCTCTGCTGTTTCTTGTGCTGGGTGAGGAGCAGAGCCTTAGGTGGTTCACCTGGGCCGGGCCACTCAGAGTCACTGGGTTGTGACGCTGTATGTGGAGGTGGGGTCAGAGGAGGGAAATGGCGGCACCCTCCCTGCCGCTTGCTGTGGGGACCCGCTGGGTCCTGGTCCAATCGCCCGCTCCCTCGCTTGTCTATCCGTGCACAAATGCGCAACCACAGTCAACCTGCATCTCTGCTCCCTCGCTGTTTCCCCCGCGGTCGCTGGCTTGGTCGCTCACTCGGTTGCTCACTAGGTCCAACCCTCGGATTCTGTGCGCCTGAGTCCGTCTGACCGAGTTTTCCTGTGCAACCCCCCTCCACCAGCTGCTTGTTTCGCCCCTTACCGGTTAGACTGAAAAATTTGTTGTTAACAGACTTCCGAAAAGTTCAATTTTCTGTGTTCTGACTATGTTTTCTGTTGCTAATATTTAGTTGTCTCTAAACTTGGTTGTGTGAGAAGGCACGGATATCCACCTATGCCTCCATCTTGGCGGAAGTCCAAGGCTCTTGACTGTTTTTTAAATTCCTTAGTTGTTGGAGTTCCATGCAGTTTGATTTTCTGACACTGCTGGTTGTTTATTGACTTGAGATGGCTGGAATCCTCCTTTTGGTTGTACATGAAAGCAAAGGATTTGTATCTACACCTCCATCTTGGCCAAAACTCCAATTATTTATTTTTTAAACAAGAAAGATTGATGAAAAGAAGAAAGGAACATGACAGAGAAATTATGTTCCCGAGTCAGAAACATAGGAACTAGCTGAGGGGAAGCAATGAAAAGGTGGAACCAGCTGTCACTCCTTCATGTTGTGATATTCAGGACAAATTGAAGTCCCCTGTGTGCATCTTGACTTTCCAAAACAATGCAAGTCCAGATCCAGAGATATCACCTGGGGGAATGAAGTTGGGTCCCATTAGTTAGAGAGACACATTGAAGATTAGGAAAGAGATGACTGAAGCCATTCTACTTTTCTCCTCTCATATCTTGTTGGTTTTCTTTTCCTCGAGAGCTGCTGATCCTCTGGGATGATGGGAAACAAGTCAGATTCCAAGAGTAGAGGGGAGGAGAAATTCTCAATTATGGGGCTGTGCTCAGAGCATCAAAACTGGTCCATGAGATGCAGGTGCCCTGGTGGACATGCAGGGGGACTGGGGTGATCTGAGTCTGTCCTGACTTCTGGGATCTCTTTACTCACAATTCCTAGCTTATCAACCCCAAGACTACACAGTGGGGAACCTCATCCGCTTGGGTGTGTCTGGCTTGATCCTCATGGTCCTCGGGGTGCTGCTGTGTGAAGCTTGGCACAGTTGGAGAAGACCCCACGTTGCAGCCAGGAGTTGAACACAGGAAACAGTAAACCCACCAGTCAGTGAGGCAGAGCCTGGAGAAGAGTCTGATGACCCCAGGAAGCTCTGGAGGAAACTGTGGGTGCCCCTGGGAAAGAGTCTGCTGAGAATGTGGAGGGTGTGGGCGTGGTTCCCCTGCAGGGAGAGGCGGGGCTGGGGCTGGGGCTGGAGAGGTTTCCCCACAGTTAGACTGTGGGCGTCTCCCCTCACTGCACTGCTGACCTTCCTTGGCTGCGCCTCTGTTCTCCTCCGTGTGACCTGGGGCTCAGCCCACATCACAGGTTCAGATCCACCCCTGGGCTCACCCTCCATCTCTGGTCCACTTTCCTGTAGGACATTTTTCTCATTTTTATTGTCCAAATTCATGCATTTTGGGTCTCTTTTGGTCATATTGGTGAGTCGCACAATCTGTTTTAAACAACTGAATAAATGGATAAATATCAAAAATAGTTTGGCCAGGGCATTGGAGTGACTTAGTGGGTTTGTGGCATTTGCCTAATTCCTGAGTGTAGATGCTCCTTGAGGACAGGGAGAGCCGCCACCACCCTCTCCCTTGTGCACCCATCTTTCTCCTCCTCCACCAACCTCACTGAGTCCCCCCTGCCAGTGGGTAGCGCTGACCTGCGTGGATTACTTTGTGTGGACGTGCTCAGGGTCGTCTCCAGGGGTCACGGTGCTCTGCGCCCAGGCGGGCCCAGAGCGGCCCCACCCCGCCTGCAAGCCTGCAGGTGCGCAGGCTGTCTCGCCCAGGACCTCCGAGGTCCGCCACAGAGTCCCCGGGAGACAGCGCACCTTCATTCCTTCCCCGCCCTCTTAGGTCCTGTGCTCCTGCCAGTGCTCCTGGTCCGGGTCCTACGCCTGCACCACCTCCCCCAAGAGCCACGGCACTCCCTTTCAGGACTGTGCCAAAGCTCCTTCTAGTCCTTGCCCCTCATAACGCCCTGGAAACACACACAGGTGAGCGCCCCCTCTGGCTGCCAGTACAAGTTCCCACGCTGCCATGAGCTGCCCGCCACCACCGGATACACAGGGGGAGAAGCACACCTCCTTCCTTCCCTGCTCCAAGTGCTTCACCCCCAGTGACTCCCTGTCTAAACTAGCTCGCCTTCACTCAGCTTCCGCTGTAACTGTTCCAGAAGCCTGGTCCCCACTTAGCACCTCGCCCATCAGCTTGACTGGAGTCCTGCGCACAGTCCAGCCTGAGCTCAGCCTGACCCCTGGTGGCTCCCAGAGCCCCATGCAGGCATCCTGCCCAGAGCTCTCCTAGCCCGGAGCACCAGCTGCAGGCCTGTGGTCCTGGCTGCCTTCCAGCGATCCCCTGAAGACCCTGAGATGCCTCTAATCCCCTCAAGAGAGCAAGGAAGAGGTCTGAGACTGGGCTGAGGTCAGTCAGCTGATGATAGCGGTCTGGCATGGGGGCTGGGGCTCCTGTCTGTAAACCATGAGCCATTAATTTAAAGAAAAACAAAACATGAGAGAGAGCAAGAGAGAAGGGGGAGAGAGATAGTTAGTTTACGAATAACTGGCCAGATACCATGAAAGATGAGGACCAGACCTACAACCTCAGAATCCTGCCACAAGAGGGAGCCACAAGCACGAAGCTGGCCCATCCACACAAGGTCCCAGAAGCCCCAGAACACATGGAGGACCAACAGAAAACATCTCTCAGCACCAGGCACCCGGTCAAGCTTGCAGGAGGTGACTGAGACATCACATACAAAAAGAGAACACAGAAATCCAAAGATCAGGAAGAATCAAAGTCTGTGCCATCACCAAAGATCATAATAGCATCCCAATAACTGAACCCAAAGACATGGAGAACAGCACTTTACTCAACAGATAATTCAAAAGAAACTCAATGAACTATAAGCCAAAAATAGAAATACAACTGAATAAGGTCAGGAAAACTTTTACATGTGCCAAATAGCCAATTCAACCAAGAAGCAGAAGTCATAAAATAAATCCCGTAATTTCTGGGTGTGAAAAATTAAGAGAATGACATGAACAATGGTACAGAGGGCATCCACCAAAGGGAAGAAGAACAAGAGGCCAATATTCTTGTTGAATATAGATGGAGAATGTCTCAACGAACATTAGCAGGACAAATTGAAGGGCGCGTTAAAAGTTTTCTACACCATAATCACATGGATTTAACACAGGGTCCTGAAAATTGGCAAAAAGATTTTATCATGTGAAAATTAGCGAAAGGTTTCACCACAATAATAAATCAGTGATATAAAACACATGGTTGTTTTAATAGATGAAGAGAAGTCATTGAAAGAAAACACACCATTCATTCAAAATAAACTTTTCGTAATAAACATGGACAACAAATTGGGGATGGAATGAGTACACCTCAGCACAACAAAGGAGCCTTGTGAGGGGAGGGCCCTAGGTCTTGAAAGATACTTGTCTTCCTGCGTGATGCTCCTCCCTGTGGCCATCAGAGGGCAGAGGAGAGTCCCCACAGGGCCTGTCATTCTCATGATTAGACACAGCCTAGAGCTTCATGTGGAACAGGGGCCATAGTTCACCCCAGTGAGTGTCTTGTTCTCAGGCAAAGCCAGGTGAGTCCAAGAGAGACTGTGCTCCTACTGGCCCAGCAGGGGGCCTTCAAGACCCTTCAGGATGAGAGTCCTCACAGCTGCTTTCCCTGAGGCTCCTTGCTGGTTAAAGGCACCTTGACATAAACCATTAGCTCCCACAGCTCTGCTGTCTCTCAGTGTGTGAGACTCCAGGTGATAGACGTGGGTGGGGACAGCAGGGGACTGGGAGTCTGAACCATCAGTCCCAGCTAAGAGGGTCACAGGTTGGCATGTGGAAGGTGGACTGGTCACATTTCCTTTCTTAGACAGAGTTTCTGCCTCTTTTTAACAAATGAGGTGAGTACTACCCCACAAAGTAGTTGTGAAGCTTGCGTGAGATGATGCATGAGTTACGGAACACAAACATAATTATTTTACAAGCATTAACTATTTACAACTTTTGGGACAGCATCCTCTTAAGATCAGCAGGAGCAAGGAGCATCAATGTATATTTTCCCCCTCATTATGGGTCCTTAAATGACTAGAATTTTTCTGGCAATACACAAAATATCAATCTTTCCTGACAGAGGGGCCAGAGGGCACCCTGGCGGCCCTCAGGTCTCAGAGGCAGTGTTTCCTGAGTTTGTTGGGGACCCAGGAGCCCCTCGTGAGTGACTGAGTCCTGGGCTGGGGATGGGCTGGAATGGTGCCCCAGGACCCAGGAGGTCCAAGCTTGCCAGGGCACACAGGTCTCTCTGTTGCCTGTGGCTGGCTCTCTGCCATGGCAGCAGGTATGGGCAGGACTGACCAAGGACTCTGCCTTGGGCTTGCTGTGCAGTTGCTGAGAAAGGTCTTTTATTTCAGCCCCCATGGGAGATTCAGGGCTCCGTTCCAAAGCAGAAAGTTCTGAAAGAAGCAGGAATACACAGTACCACCGCCAGACAACTTCAGAGCAGCGATCCCAGGAATCCCAGGAGTGGAGGACTCAGAAAGTGGGAGGCAGAGCTGATGGGGCTCAGTGCCCAATCTTCACTGACAATCTGCTCCTGGATGAGTGTCCCCGCTGTCTTCTGCTGTAACTCTTTGCTGTGAGGAAGTCTGGTCCCCGTGGGCTTCTTATTATACTAATTTGCATTTTTCATAGAAAATAATGTTAGGACTTTTCTTAAGGAACCCTGGCCAGTGCTTCTTGATTTTTATTTTCGCTGAAGTGCATATAATGTAATACGAACCATTTTAATGTGTACAATTCAGCGCAAAATAGAATTTTTAAATTTTAATTTACCATTCATTTGCTTCATTGACCACAAGAGGACAAGATACAGATTTCATTTCTATTTCTATTTTATTTTTTAAAGATTTTATTTATTTATTTTTAGAGAGAGGGGAAGGGAAGGAGAAAGAGAGGGAGAGAAACATCAATGTGTGGGTGCTTCTCACATGCCCCCTACTGGGGACCTGGCCCACAACCCAGGCATGTGCCCTGACTGGGCATCGATCTAGCGACCCTTGGTTCACAGGCCCACACTCAGTCCACTGAGTTACACCAGGCAGGGCTGAGTTCATTTTCAAATACATGCCCTCTATCACTTAGCTGGTCTTCCTCATCTCTGTAAAATGTTCAATGATTGTTCTCTGGAGCTCTTACTAAATGTCATGGTCACTTCTTTCCTTCTGACACCAGAGATATGACATTGGCCCTCCTCACTCTAGTCCCCAAGTACCTTCAGTCCTCACATCTGGTGACCCTGTGCTGCATTCTGGAAATTTCCTCAACACTGTACTCCACTGTCATAACTGGCCCTTCAGCTCTGTCTCATCCTTGATGGGAAGAATTGTTTAAGTGTGTCCATTCTATTGGGTTGTTCAACTCTTCAAATTCTAATCAAAACAATTCTGTAAAATAATTCATATTGCTGGCTCAGTATTTGCCTTTACTTTCCAGGTATTTGAACATAATAATCTTAATTTACTTTCATATTTCCTTACATGGTTGGTTGCGTGTGACAGTCCCCAGTGTCAGTAGATGGTGTCCCTAGCTCTGTCTGTCATCATTAGAATTTCTCCACTGTCCACTCTTGTAGGAGTCTCTCCCCTCACACACCTGGTCTCCCTCAGATCCTCCAGGGCTGTCCTGGGAGTCAGGCTGACCAGGGGCTGTGGCAGCTGCCCCTGTCCCATGCAGTCCACTCTCTCAGACTCAGCCTCTGCTCAGTGTTCTGCCCACCAGGGCTGGTCCATGGGAACCTCACACACACCCACGAGACAGACGTTCTTGGCTGACATACTAGATTCAGTCTGTTTCAGGACACACAGGGCAGACTGCTCACTGCTGATTATGAACTTGGGTGAGTGGGCAGAGACATCTCAGACCATGCACAGAACCATGGGGCAGGGGCCACACTTTCAGCCTTCGCCTGCTCCCTGACCTTCTTCCTGTGAGGTCCTGGAGTCCCTTTCCTTTTACTCAGGGGAGGGAATCATGTCCCTATGACCCATGGATAATCCAGAGCAGTACGGCCATTCAGTTTCAGTCTCTGTTCTTCAAGGTCATTCCTTCTCCATTTGGTGCCACGTCCACAGTTGGATCCCTTCCTTGACAAAGTCAGGAGGGGAGGTCCAAGACTTCAAAGAAGCATTTTCCAACCTGGTGGACGTGGCATGGAGGGCATGTTTACCCGCCCCCCTGAGTCAATTTTAGACATATCTAAAACGTAGAATAAGAATAGGCCCCCTGGGACAGCCTAACCAAGGCAGACAGCCAAGTTCCTGTTCAGACCAAGAAGCATAGTAACAGTAACTGCAAAAGCCAACGAATCCGAAATCGCTTGCCAGCTGAAATCGCTTACTAGCTAGAATAGTATAAAAGCTTCAGCTTTACTTTCAATAAAGGTCTTCAGAGCATCACCTGCCTTGAGCTGCGTAGTTGCCTGATTTCCGCGCCGACTTCTACCTTCACCTCGAGGGGACGCTTAGACCCGTTGCGGCCGGACCACGGCAATTTGGGAACTTTCATTTCTCTTTCCTGCACGTGTCTTACCTACGTACTTTAGAGCTGTTGTGAGTAGCTGTACTTGGTTGGTATTCAGAGCACATGTGGTCTCGACTGGGTGCTACAATCCTGCCCTCGACCCTAGACACCTTGATCCTCTCATGTCCCAGCACCTCACGTCTTCATCTGGTCTGCAAATGGAACTCTCCCTCCCATGAACCAGCACCACTGACCCACAGTCACTGTGGGGACTGGGCTTTGTGAGAACATCATTTACATTAGGAGACTGAAACAGAGACTGGACATCCCAGAGCTCACACAAAAACGGGGACAGAAACCACTTCCAGCCTTCACCTGCTCCCACACCCTTTAAAGGTGAGGACCTGGGATCCCTCCCCATCCACTCAGGAGCAGGCAGAATTTCCCTCCTGTGACTTGTGGGTAGTCCTTGTCATGGGGGTCCACTCGGTTTTGGTCTCTGTTCTCCACTGTGCTTCCCTCTTCATTTGTGGAATTTCATCTCTCTTTCCTAGACATGTCCCTGCCTACATAATGGAGAGCTATTGTGAGTAGCTGTGCTTGGCATCCAGAGAAGACAATGTCTCAAGTGGGTGCTAAAACCCTGCCCTTGACCCTGGACACCTTGATCCTCTCAAGTCCCAGCCCACTCACGTCCTCATCCTGTCTGGAAATGAAAGTCTCTCTCCATGAACAAGCACCACTGACCCACAGTCACTGTGGGGACTGGACTTTGTGACAACAGGATTTAGATGAGGAAACTGAGGCAGAGACTGGACACTATCACATGGATCACTTGGGCAATGGTTGATGGTTATTTAAATAAGTATCTGCTGTGAGTAAAAATCAGGGCTGTAACCCATAGCCATGTCCCCTGAAGCTTGATGGCAGGACCACAGCTTGAGGAAGAGGCCTGAACCAGGAAACAAGGGCACTGAGGGGGCAGGGGTCACTCAGAGGCTTGTCCCCCAGAAGGTGGGTGGACGCAGTTGCTGAGAAAAAACGAGAAGTCAGTGGGGGTGGCTGGAATAGAAAGAAAGTCACACTCTGGGGCCAGGAGGAGGGGTGTGTGTCCTTCCCTCATTTCCCTGCTTCTGTCCTTTGTGCTCATTGTCACAGCGACACTCATCTGCACTGCACAGTGAGGAGCAGACAGTGTCTCTGCTGAGCTGAGCTCTGCAGGCACAGGGACCCCGTGTTCCTGAAGCATCTGCAGGGCCTGGGTGACCACTGCCCATGGGGAGGACCCACAGGAAGGGGTTGATAGTTGGACTGAGGGGGAAGGGGACCTCATGGAGGGGGACCTGGAAGGCCATGCCCTGGGTCACTTCACTTGCAAGGGGCATCTCAGGAGGCTGAGGGTCTATTTTTTCCTCCATTATGGGAACAAGGGCCGGACTCCTCAGGAGACACTGTTCCCCTTCCTGAGGGGCTAGTGATGTAACAACCCCGTGACAAAGATGGTCAGCCTCCCAGTGGCCACACCCTATGAGTCTGTCTACACTGAGGACTCCTTGGGCTCTTCTTTCTGCACAGCCAGAACCAGACAGGAGACGCCATGACCCTCATCCTCTGGGCCCTGCTCTGTCTGGGTGAGACGTGAGGGGGGAGGGGAAGCCCTGCTCTGTCAGGACCCCAGGACTCAGGAGGCCCCTGGGGAGGAGGGTTCTGCTCAGGGACAGGGCAAATCTCTCACAGGGACTCTCTTGCAGGACTGAGAGTGGGCCTGAGGACCCCAGTGCAGGCAGGTGAGTCTGTCCCCAGGGGTCCCATATCCCTCTCTGCATAAAGAACAACGGGCCTCCTCATCAGGCACCTTGGGATGAAGAACAGAAGTTCTGGGTTAATGGATGGGGTATGTCAGGGAATATCTTGGGGCTGATATTTGGGGACTGGGGGTGGAAATATCTTGTGACCCAGCCTCTGACTCCTTCCAGGGACCCTCCCCAAACCCACCACCTGGGCTGAGCCAGGCCCCGTGATCCCCTGGGGGAGCTCAGTGACCATCTGGTGTCAGGCGGCCCTGCAGACACAGGATTTCCGTCTGCATAAAGAGGGAAGTCCAACACTCTGGGACAAACAGATGCCACTGGATCCTGAGGACAAGGTCAAGTTCTTCATCACAAACATGACAGACTACACTGCAGGGAGATATCACTGTTACTATGTCAGCCAAAATGTCTGGTCAGAGCCCAGTGACCCTCTGGAGCTGGTGGTGACAGGTGAGAGGACACTCAGAGGTCCCAGCCTCAAGCTCTGCCCTCAGGAAGGGGGATACTTTCAGGAGGTCTCCCCCTCGCGGCCCAGCCCTGGGAGACATGAGGGAGGTGTGGCCCCATTTACCATGCTGCCTCCTTCTCTCCTAGGAGTCTACAGCAAACCCAGCCTCTCAGCCCTGCCCAGCCCTGTTGTGACCTCAGGAGGGAAAGTGACCCTCAGATGTCACTCATATGAGGGATTTAGCATGTTTGTTCTGACTAAGGAAGGAGAAGACAGGCTCTCCTGGACCCTGGACTCACAGCTTCACCCCACTGGGCATTTTCAGGCCCTGTTCCCTGTGGGCCCCATGATACCCAGACAGAGGGGGACTTTCAGATGCTATGGCTGGTATAGGTCCAGACCCCAGGTGTGGTCACCACCCAGTGATGCCCTGGAGCTCATGGTGTCAGGTGAGTCCCTTTCTTGTTTCATCCATGATATGAGGTACCACACAGGTTATTGGGGTCTTTGCTGGGAGGGGAGCACTTGTGAGAGGTGGGGTGAGGGGAGCTTAGGGACTTGTAGGTCAGAGACACAGATCACCCACGGAGATTGAGTGCCTCTGAGGATGTAATGCTCCTCAGATATTCAAGCTCTGGCTACAGTGTCAAGGCTCTGGTTGTCAGCAGGGAGAGATTTCAGGGGAACCAGGGGCTCCAGGGTCTCTGATGGTTCTCGCTTCAGCCCAGCCCAGTGAGGCCTGTGGATGGGTAAGGGAGGCAGGTGACAGGTGAGGTGGCCATGGCAGTGGGTGATGTTGGGGGCCCAGCTGCACAGAGGAGCAGCCCGGTTCACATCAGCAGAAGGCGGATCCCACCCTCTGCTACCCAACCTGGGCTTATGGCCTGTGGGTGGGATGCAATGACAGAGGCTCAGAGTGCCCCCTGGGGTCAAGATCTCATCCAGTTTCTGCCCCGAGACCTTCTGGTCTCAAGTGAGCCACCCCTTCCCCTGTCTTCTCTGAGCTGCAAGGTCAACTGGGGGCCCTGTCCCCAGGAAAGTCTAAGGCATAATGGGAGTGCCAGGTGGCTCCACAGAGAAGGGTCTTCCTGTGAGAGGTGGAAGCAGGTGGGCATCTCCCACCCCTGGCACCTCCTGACCCTCAGGCTCAAACACAGCTGTGCAAGGGAGGGTGATGGCCTTGCTCAATGGTGACACAAAGAGTCAAGTGAGAATGGACTGGAGTCACAGGAGAGAGTCCTGGCCCACTGCCTTCAGGTGTCCCCCACTCAGAACTAGTGTAGCACTGCCCCCAAGAGGTACATGCCACAGGCAGGACCCCCAGGAGAGAGGGTAGAATGTGTGTAGACTCAGCTGCCTAGGGAGGTGAGCTCTGAGGATCTTTCCCCACCTGAGTGAGGGTGAGCTGCCTCGCCAGGACCCGCAGGGGCGTGTCCATTTCTGACTTTCTGGGGCACCAGACAAGTAACTGCTCCAAGACCTGCTCCTGGTCCCGCCCTCTCTGGGATGGTCCTGCCCTCAGGGACAGTCCTGTTTGTCCCAGTAACTGGGACCTTGTACAGATGAAACAGCTGAGGGAGACATGGGTTGTGGGGCAGCAGGTACCTCCAGCCTGGGGACTCAGCTTAGCAAGCAGAAAGCTCGATATCAAGGAGAGTGGGAGGATTTGGAAATTCCCATGGAGGGTGTCAACTGTTCCTGCTTCCACACCGAATCTGTGGGATTTTCCACCAAAAGCCTAGGCCTCTGAGTAGTTTGCTTGGTGCCAGTTTGGAAAATTCGGTGTCCCAATCTGGCTTCTAATACAGGAAAGATAGCTGGACTGTGGAGGAGAGACCGGGAGGGTTAGAGAGAGAACAGACAGACTCTCTCCTGGCCCCTCATTCCAGAGACAGTGAAACCCACCGACCTGCATGGGTGTCCCTGAACACTCTCAGAGGAGGACAGGAGGTGGCTTGGGCCAAGGTGGGGCTACTGTGGGTGATGGTGGAGTCCCCACTTGACACTCTCCAATGGGGAGAAGGGCCCCCACCTGTGGGCATCACTCTGCAGGCCCCTGGGCCCACCTGGAGGCCTCTAGCACTCAGTGCTCACTTGAGACTCAGGTTGGCTGTGGGAGGCCATGGATGGTTCATGAGGCACTGGGGTTTCCTGCCCAGGTTCGGTATGAAATTCATGTCTGCTGTGTATATTTCTGTGCACACTTGTCTATTATAGCATGTTCTCTGAGAAATTGAAAGCAATGCTTCCATATATAGATTTAAGTTATAAACATTTCTGACTTTCAAAAGATAATACACTCATTTTGACTGTGATTCTGTTAAATTTGTCCCTTTATTATGAAAAGTAACCATTTCACATGGCCGCTGTGTGTCAGTAGATTGAGTGCCAGCCTGCAAATCAAATGGTAGCTGGTTTGATTCCCAGTCAGGGCACATGCCTGGGGTGTGGGTCAGGTCTCCAATAGGGGGTGCTCAAGAGGAAGCACACATTGATGTTTCTCTCCCTCTCTTTCTATTTCGAAAACAAATAAACAAACAAACAAATAAATAAATATTTTTAAAGAAAAGTAACATTTTAGTAAAAAGAAGTTTTTTAAAAAATAAATGTGCTTTACATATTTTCTTCTAGACTTCAGATACATTTTGAGGTTTTTTTCATAAAATTGTCCATACATACATCTCAAGAATTTTTCAAGTATCCCGTATATGTGTGTGTATAGATGAGACTAACCCATGGACCCTGAGTCCTCAGCTGCTGAATAAATAAAAGCTCTCCTCTCTAGAGGAGTGAGCTTGGGTGGTTCAGTCTCCCACTGTGAGCAGACAGATTACAAGGACATCCTCTGTTCTGTAATAAGAGACCACATTTCTCAGTAAAACTGAATTATCAGGGCAAAGACAACCTATGTCCCAAAGGGCCTCAGGACCAAAGTCTACACTCAAAAGTCCCCAGGAGACTGACAGGACCCATGACAGCAGACAGGACCCCCATTGCAGAGAAAGGATTCCAGAAGGGCCTGGAAACAGTCACATCATGAGGAACAGGAGAGTTTTGAGGACAGTTGGCTTGAGAGGAATTAACTCCTCACACACGCACTTCTTTATGTTTTTCAAGGAGTAGCCGACATCATCCACCCCTCACACAACAGCTCAGACAACTCGAGTGGTGAGTAGGAGAGTCCTCAGTTGTGGGGCTGGGGCAGAGGGTCCTGTCTGTCAGGGGGAGACTGGTGTGCTGGGTGGGCACCCAGGATCCAAGGGTGACTGTCTGCTATGACCTCTGTGACGTCTTTGTCCACATTTCCTAGACTCCCACCCCCAGGACTACACAGTGGGGAATCTCATCCGCATGGGTGTGGCTGTTCTGGTCCTGCTGGTCCTCGGGGTGCTGCTGTCTCAGGCTCGAGACAGCGAGAGAATGGCCCAGGCTGCCACCAGGACCTGAACACAGAGGTAAAGGAGCACCGTTCAGAGTGGGAGAGACTTGGATTGTGCCCAGAAGGTTCTGGAAGATAATCTGGGACACACTGCATAACATGTCTGGAGCTCACTGCAGGTGGAGGACTCCTTGCTCATATGCAGGACCATGTCTGGACCCTTCTGCCATTAAATTCAGCCCATCTCCTCCCAACCACTGTTGAGTCATGTGACCAGTTCCTACCTTTTCCCAATTCAGTTAAATTAGTGTTGATCCCACATGGCATGGCCACCTCCACACCTCCCAACACTTTCAGAAAACTTGTCCTTCTTTATGTCTAATTACATCTGCCTTGGTGTTTGTATGGAGTGTCCATCCACTCAGTGCACAGCATGCAATCTATTTTAATACATTAATGAGCTGGCATCACAGAGATTCAGTTCACAAGAGAAAAATTTAAAATGATGCCCTAGCACCCTCTCTGGACCCCAGATGCCTTCACCTTTCCCCAGATGGCACCTGTGGACTTTCCACAGGAACCTCCTCACATGGAGTCAAGACTTTTTTCTCTCTACAATTGAGGATATTTACATTGCTTTTTTGGAGAGATGGAAGAGAGAGAGAGAGCAACACTGATGTGAGAAGCAAGCACTGATTGGTTGCCTCCCATACATGCCTGGACAGGGGTTTGAACTTGCAATGTAGGTATGTGCCCTGACTGGGATTGGAAATCACAAGGTTTTGGTTATGGGACGATGCTCCAACCAACACAGCCACACCAGCCTGGGGGAAATCAAGACATTTTTGTCTGAAGGGATCTCCTGGGATGCACTGCCTGGGAAAACCCATTGTTAAAACCATGGGAGTATACAGATAATGTATTAGAGAACTGCACACTTGAGACCTATATGATTCTATTACTCATGTCATCCCAATGAATTCCTCTTAATAAAACACTGGTTCTTGGCATTTTACCATTTCTGGTATTTATGGTCCCTTTGTGGACAACTTCAAGGTGCCCTGTGAGGTCCTGATGCAAAGCTGGGATGTGAAACACAAACTGACTTTCAGAGACAGTACAAGCCAACGTGGGGCACCAGCAACACCAGTCTGACAGACCCACAGTGGGCCTAAGCTGCCTGTCCTTTTGTGTGTAATGATGATTTCTACTTCAGTGTTGTGGCACCATTTCTGTGAAAATACAAGGCCACAGTCCCAACTTATGCAGACAATGGACCAAGGGGAAAACCCTTCTATCCCTTCAGGGAGAGAACAGTGAGCAGATAGAGTTCTAATGCATCACTTGTAGAAGTGCAAATAATAATTGCCAATTGAGTGGATATGTTACACTTACCCACTTAGAGACACAGAGCTGTACCTTTGAGTACCTGCCTTAGAGAACTTGTGTACATGGGCATCATTCACAAGGGCATTGATTAGGGTTCAGGTAGTTCTGGTTTGAGAGTTTTCAGGGAAGTGTGAAGCATGAGGCAACAGAGCCCCTTCCTATGGAAAAGCCCCAACAGAATGCTTGCAGGCTGTGTGCAGTGGGGTCTCAGGGAGTCACCAGGGTGGTAGAAAGAATGTTAGCCAGATAGATAGAGGCTCAGATAGGGCACCTGCCTGCCAGCTGTGTGTAGGCAGGGCTCATCAGAGGAACCATATCCTGTGTTAGTACTGCTGTTGGCAGAGAGCTGCCCCCTGTCTCTTGCCCTGAGGTCAGACAACTCAGTTCATCCTTGTGTGTCCCTGGTTTCTTTCAAGCTGCTGCCCCAGTGCTGAAACTTAGAGGGAGTGAGTCTGAGTAAGTCTGTGTGTGGTTCCTGAAGGTGGAAGTGCCTGGGACTCCAGCAGCCTTCAGACTCAGCAGCTCTCCCTCCTGACTTTTATCTGCCACACAGGGGTGTGGGACCATCCCATTTTGTTTCTCTGAGTCTCCATGTGGCTTCTTCTTTAACCCTTAGTTGTGAGACTCCTGTTCAGCTAGAATTCAGGAACTTCTGGCTGATGGTTTTTCTGTAGTTTTGTAATAATTCTGATGTGGATGAAAAAAGTGTGTGTCATTTTGGTTTTGTTTTGATGTCTTGTGATTGTTTATTTCCCTTGTCCTTCAGATGCATCCATGTAGCACATGACCTCCTTTCCTTCTTTTATAACAAGTTTTATTTCTCAATAAAGTTGACATCAAATATTATGTAAGTTTCTCGGTCACAAGATAGATTACAAATGTATTTTTGAATTTTTGTGCCACTTTTTCTCCCTCTTGCATCTCACTCTCTCCAGTTTGGTGTCATAGTCCTTCTAACTGAATTAAATCATTTTCTATTCCTTTCACCAAGGGTAGAAATATGAAAATATCTAATAACTTGCTCCTCTGGAAGTACCTTGTTTCAGGCTCATTTGCTTTATAAAAAGACTAGAAAACACTTTCCTATTTCAATTAAAGTGTATGATTCAACTCCTCAGAGAGAAAAAAATGTCCCCTGTGGTCAAGGCTCTCTCTCCAGAAATTTGTTCTCTCTCCTGGAGACTCAGCCTCACTGGGTGGAGTTGGGAGGACACACAGGTTCCCACTTAGGGACTGGCCCGGCTGACACATTCACCTTGTCCCTTAAAGCAAATGGGGCTCCGTGTACAATCTTCACTAACACTCTGCTCCTGGAAGGTGTGTCCCCACTGTCTTCTGGTGTCACTCTTTGCTATGAGGAAGTCTGATCCCAGGGAACTTGTCACTATGGTGATGTGCACGTCCTCTAGGAAGTAATTTTAGGGCATTTTATGACCCAATGCCAGTCATGCACCATTTTCTTTTTGATTTGAAATTCACATTAAAATAAAACGAACCATTTAAAAATTTTTATATTGATTGATTTGAGAGGTGGGGCAGAGAGAGAGAGAGCAACATTGATTGTTGACCCACTTCCTGATGCATCCATTGATTCTTTGTGTGTGTGCCCTGACTGGGGATCAAGCCCACAACCTTGGATATTGGGATGATGCTCTGACCCACTGAGTGACCCTGACAGGGCCTAAAATTAACCATTTCTGATGTGTTAAATTGGGTGTAGGATATGTTCTTGTGTTATTATTTGATCTTCATTTTTCTTCATTAAGCACAAAAAGTCAAGATACAGATTTCATATTTATATACCTGCTCCCTAACACTAGATTGGTTTTTCTTCATCTCGGTAAAATGTGGGATTATTTATCTCTCAAGCTGTTACTAAATGCCATGCTCACTTCTTTCTTTCTGACAGTGAAGATATGATGTCCACCCTCCTCACTCTAGTCCCCAATTACCTTCAGTCCCCCCTTCTTGTCTCTCTAGGCTGCATTCTGGAAATTTCCTCTGTATTGTACTCCACTGTCTAAATGGCCCTTCAGCTCTGTCTCATCCTTGATGGGAAGAATTGTTTTCACGTGTCTGTCTATTGGGCTTTTTCATCTCTAAGGTTTCTGACTCATTATATTCATCTACATAAAACAATTCATATTATTGGCTCAAAATTTGAATCCTCCCTATATTTTTTAGGTATTTACATGTGATCATCTTCCATTGCTCTCATATTTTCCTTCTCACTCTCTTTCATTGGGTGTGACAGTCCCCAGTATCAGTAGATGGCATCTACAGCATTGTCTGTCCCTCTCAGGAAGTCTCCACTGTCCACTCTTGTAGGAGCCTCTCCCCTCACACACCTGGTCTCCCTCAGATTCTCCAGGGCTGTTCTGGGAGTCAAGCTGACCAGAGGCTGTGGCAGCTGTCCCTGCCCCATGCAGTCCACTCTCTCAGACTCTGCACCTGCTCAGCGTTCTGCCCACCAGGGCTGGTCTAATAGGAGTCACACACACACACACACACACACACACACACACACACGGGTCAGACACCCATGGCAGACATACTGGACTCAGTGTGTTTCACTGAGGCAGACTGCTCACTGCTGTCCATGAACTTGGGCAAGTCGGAGAGACATCCCAGAGCCCACACAGAAACACGGGGCAGGGACCACACTTCCAGCCTTCACCTGCTCCCTGACTCCTCTTCCTCTGAGGACCTGGGGCCCTTCTCTGTCCACTCAGGTGGAAAGCCCCTTCCTATGACCCTTGGATGGTCCTGGTCACTGGAGGCCTCTCACTTTCAGTTTCTGTTCTCCACTGTGGTTCCCTCTCTTTTGGGAAACTTTCATTTCTCTTTCCTGCATGTGTCTGTGCCTACATACTTTAGAGCTGTTGTGAGTAGCTGTACTTGGTTGGTATTCAGAGCAGACAAGGTATGGAGTGAGTGCTACAATCCTGCCCTTTACCCTGGACACCTCGACCCTCTCATGTCCCAGCCCACTCACGTCTTCATCTGGTCTGGAAATGGAAGCCTCCCTCCCATGAACCAGCACCACTGACCCACAGCCACTGTGGGGACTGGGCTTTGTGTCAACAGGATCCAGATGAGGAGACTGAGGCAGAGACTGGACATTACCACTCAAGGACACAAGGACATTGGATGATGAGTATTTAAGTAAATATCTGCTGTAAGTAAAAATCAGGACTCTAACCAAAATCAATGTCCCCTGATGCTTGAAGGCAAGACATCTTGAAGGCAAGAATTGAACCTGGAAACAAGGGGCACTGAGGGACCAGGGATCACTCAGAGGCTTGTCCCCGGGAAGGTGGGTGGACGCTGTTATTAAGCAAACATGAGAAGTCGATGAGGGTGGCTGGGATAAAAAGAAAGACTCACTCCGGGGTCAGGGAAACATGCGTGTGTCCTTCCCTCAATTCCCTGTGTCTGTCCGTTGTGCTTACTGTCACAGTGACACTCGCTTGAATTGCACAGTGAGGAGGGGACAGTGTATCTGATGACCTGAGCTCTGCAGACACAGGGACCCTCGTGTTTCTGAAGCATCTCCAGGGCCTGGGTGACCACTGTTCATGGGGAGGACCCACAAGGAGATGCTCATGGCCATACTAAGGGGGAATGGGACCCTGTTGGAGAGCCTCTGATCTGAAAATACTCGACCTGGGTTCGAGGAATACTCACCTGCATTCCTGAGGGGCATCTCAGGAGGATCTGAGTGGGATAGTCCTTCATGAGAATATGAGTGGGACTCCTGAGGTGAAACTGTCCCTCTTCCTGAGGGGCTGCTGATGTGACAGCCCCATGACAGCAACAGTCAGCCTCCCAGTGACCATATTCTGCATCTTCCACTTTAGGACACCGTGGTCTCTTCCTCCTGCACAGCTGGGTTCACAGAGGAGACACCATGACCCTCAGCCTCATGGCCCTTCTCTGCCTTGGTGAGATGTGAGGGGGGAGGGGACATCCTGCTCTGTAAGGACCCCAGGGCTCAGGAGGCTCCTGGGGAGGAGGGTTCTGCTCAGGACTCAGGGCAAATCTCTCACAGGGACTCTCTTGCAGGGCTGAGCCTGGGCCTGAGGACTCCAGTGCAGGCAGGTGAGTCTGTCCCCAGGGCTCCCAAGTGTCATTCCCCACTGGGGACAGGAGGCCATCCCCTGGGAAGTTGGGGATGAAGAATGGCAGTTCTGGGATGACAGATGAAGGACATCTGAGATGTTGGGGGCTGAGAGGTAGGCACTGGGGTAAAAAATGTTCAGACTCAGCCCTTCATTCCTTTCAGGGACCCTCCACAAACCGACCCTCTGGGCTGAGCCAGGATCCATGATCCTCTGGGGGAGCTCAGTGACCATTTGGTGTCAAGGGACCCTGGAGGCTAAGGAGTACCATGTGTATAAAGAGGGGATCTCAAAGCCCTGGGATAGGCAGAAGCCACTGGATCCTGGGAACAAAGCCAAGTTCTCCATAACACACACGACAGAGCGCACTGCGGGGAGATATCACTGCTCCTATCTGAGCCAAGGTGTCTGGTCAGAGCGGAGCGACCCGCTGGACCTGGTGGTAACAGGTGAGAAGACACTCAGAGGTCCCAGCCTCAGGCTTTCCCCTCAGGAAGAGGATGCT